TGGTGTCGCCCTCACTTGTTATATCTTATCACCACAGCCACAAGGGCGACCCCGCCCATCTCGCTTCCGATCATATTGACCGGCCCCAAGGCGCAATGCTCAACACGCATTTCTCCGATTTCCTCATCACCCTCACCCGACCCACCCCCTCAAAACTCACAGCCACCTGCTTTTTGTACTTAGATGAAACAGCCTCAGCTTCTGACAACTTTGAACAATACTTCAAAGAACCTCAAACGTGATGAAACCTGCGACGGATCCGGGATTAGCACCGTGGACTCCAGCTTGGTGTTCGAGTTGATTTGGCAATGAACAATCTGGATTGCTGCTTGCTCCCAGGATCTTATTCAGAGGACGGGATGGTCGCTTGCGTGCAGATGGAAACCAGCTCCGGAGAAGCGAAGTTTCCTAGCGTATGGCGCTGGTAAAATCATCGTTTGGCTCCTTGGATGCAAAACACAATTCCTCCGGCGTTCCGGTGCTTTTCGCTGTCTTCTGCCGGCTGTGTGTTGTTTCAAATCGTCATCCTGAAGGTCTGACTGTGACCATGCTGAAGTTACTTTGTCGATAGCGTCGTCGTCGTCGTCGTCAAAACAGTCCTGGAGCCTGTCAAGCTGAGCCTGGCCTGCGAACGTTCGTATTTTTTGTAGAATGGGAAATCGCGAGACATACCATTACTAAGGTTCGAGGAATGCTCGCAGGAAATGCAAAGTCACCAGCTCGGAGTTTTCAAGCTCGCCAAGGCACAGCAACTGTGTGGAAGTTCCGCTAGCTGCGGCCCCTGCCTGTTTGTCTTCGCTGTTCTCACGCCCAGTCCTTAAACTTTTCCACTCAGCAGAACTGAAGGGGACGGTTTTCCTTTAGGAGGGCTTTGCACCAGGTCGTCTTGAAGTGGCAACGCTAGCCTTTTAGTCTGCAGTTGCCCGCAAGTCAGCTTTACCATGGTTAGGAGCGTTGAGCAAATCCGAACTCTGAACAACGTCAGCGCACATGTGGACTCTCACCTACATTGACCTCACATTTTCAGATTGACAACTGGGTGAACTCACGGGTGGGATCCAGTTGAACCAGATCTCGCCGCATTGATTGATTGAGGGTCGACTGGCATGTTAGTACAAATAGCCAACAATCTGCTTGCTATCATGTGCTTCCATGGGGAAGGCCTTTTCTGAGATGTACTGCCTGGACCGCCAACTCCCCCTTTAATGCATCCGATACGCTCCAACACCCTCAACATCCTGGTCTCGCTGTGCTCACTTTTCAATGATGTGGCTCGTCGGAGCTCAATCGGTCTGAGGCCATGTCAGCCAACAGCTTCTGAACTGTTTCACTTGCTGTTCTGCTTCCCAACAGGCTGACACAGCTTCGATGCACAATTTTACAAATTTATTGACTCGAGGGTCGAGGGGGCGACAATAAACGGCCGCAGGCTCTGGCAATTTCCCGACATACGAGGCGGCCTTCGAAGTAACACTGCCTTCGAAGTTGACTACTGGGCCAGCCTTTCGCCTGTCGGCTCCGAGCCGGTGCTACTCAATTACGAACCCTTGGAAAAACGGCTTCGAGGTCTGTCGGGAGAAGCTGCCGAAGACCACGTACAAGGCAGCTGAGTACGGGGTTGCCGTCGAAACGATTTTTGGCAGCTTCAGGTGTGTCAGACGTTGTGAACCAACAGTGAGTCATGTGTAAGCCAGCCCCGAAGGTGTTCCGGAATCCGGCCTTCCAGATGACGGAATCCAAACTCAAAACGTCTTGAGGCTGGCAGGGCATGGCTTGCACCTCGTAGTTAAGTCTCCTTGAAATCTGAGCTCCAGCTTTCGGAAAGGCTAGGAGCATGAGCAGTCTCCTCCCATACGACATTCACCAGGGTAACGCCTCTTTGGCTTGGGGGAAAAGTCACTGGCAGAAAGATGACTGAGCGTCAGTGCCAGCTGAAACTGAATGACTTGCAAGTCGATGGGCCTTCTCACACACTGAACTCGCGCTGGCACTATGGACTGACAGCCGTCCTCTCTGCTGCTCCCGGTGAATCTGACCAAGGGTTGCTTAAAGGAAGTTAACAAATCTCTCCAGCAGTTCACTGGAGGTCACGCTGGCAACTACGAGGTTCTCAAAAAACGAGCGAGCAGCAAACTGCAAGAGTCGTACACATCCATGTCCTAGCCAGCTCTACTGCAGACTGTTGTAGCTTTGACTATTTGGCCGGAGAACGGCGTTCAGGTTCTGGATGAGTCTTGAAAGCTATGATCCTCTGGCCATGCTCATGACAACTTGCGTGCTACATTCCATTATGCAGTCTAACGCTGGTTGGCGAGCATATTGATGTGCTCAACATGCATTCTCCGGCGCAGCTTGCAGTGAGCATGATTTTGCAAGCCAAAACCGCATGGCAGTCGTAACTTCTAAGTGTCCCATAGCTTCTAGGATTCTAGGTGCTAAATCTAGGAGTGGCGGTGCTTGTTCGGACAGTCTCGTGCAGTTCACCTCACATCGCGATGAAGTCGATTAAAAAACACATAAAGCAAATGGCATAAACAACTTGTGCTGTGGCTGCCTTCGGGGATCATGATGGGAACCTTGGACCATGTTTGATTCAAGACCGATCTCCTTTCGGAGCCGCAGCACACTCCCAAAAGCTCGTTCACAAGCAGGGCTTCAACAAAGCCTCCTGTCTTCAAGCTCAACAACCACGACTTGTGCAGGAACTGAATTTCGGGATGGGAGAGGAGCCCATCACTGGATGGGACTCACACTTCCTTGACCCATGAAGAAGAATGCTTGAACAAAGCCACGTACATCGCACAAATCGCAAGCAGTCACAGCAAGTTCTGTCGTGGCGTCGGCGGGCGGAGTCGCTCTCGGGACCCGTCTTAAGGTGACCCAAAAGAGGTGTGTCCTCCCCCTACTCATCGTCTCAGGGGTGGACTCCGACAGCATCGAAGTCTTCTGTTCTTGCCCGTCCGCGAAGGAGTGGGCTTGAGCCCATCATGCGAAAGCGGCTGGCCGTCGTCGACGCTGCCTGTGCTGCGGGAGAGAGCATGAGGGATGCGGGAGCAGCGCAATAAGAACCAGCTGTGCTTGCGATTACAATGACTTGGGCAAGTCCCCAAACTGGGCACTGCCGAAAGGACCTGAGCTTTGATCCGGTTCAGTCTATTATCCCTCTCCAAGAACAGAAGCCCAACACAGCTTGCGCAGCGTGTCACACACGGCTGCTCGTTCTTGAGAAGCCCCAGAACGGCTGAATAGATGGACCCTTGTCCTTCCCGTCTGCAGCCAGCATGCAGAAAGCATTGACGTCGCTAACCTGAGTTCGTTCTGAAATGTTGTGAATGTCCTAGTCCTGGGATCTCACTGCTGAGAACTCTTAACGATGAGCGAGGCGGTAATCGAGACAGAACACACTGTCCGATGCAAGGCTTTGCTGCTTCTGTGTTGCAGTGTTTGAGAGCTCGTCTCTGCATGCCAGGCTATGGCAGCGCCAGCTCAAGATGACGAGCGTTCCCTTTCCAGCGCTTTCACTAAGTTGGAAACTCGTCATGTTATCAATATCACCGTCTTCAGATGCTTTCTTCAAGGACCTCCGGCTCCGCCAGTCGGCAGTTCTTTTTGGCTCTTTTCCAATTCCGCCCAGCAGCTTCCACATGCGCCGCGCCCGGCGGGACTGCGCTGCCCCTGCATGCCTGCAGCTACGTGCCGGGAATTTTCGCCACTGGTGCACTTTGCCATCATCGTCCCGGCCTGATTTTTGACTCCTCTGGAGGTGCCTTAGTGGTGGCTCCGCTCGGCCACAGAGTTGGCCGGCATTTTGCACATGCGCAGTGAGTCCAAAACTCCAGGCTTGTACCTTACATGGCACTGCCAAAGCCTGTTGCGAGCCAAGACGCCAGCACGTCTGTTGAGAGCCTTCGCAGCGCAGCTCCTGTGCGGGCTTTCTGTCGGCTACAGGAAATGGCTGTTATGGAGAGGGTCCGACCAGGGGTTCTACCGTGATGTCCTGAAGCAAACAGTGCAATACAGTCAAGGCCTTAAGTCACACCTTTTTGTTGGAACACAGTCGTCTAAGGGGATGCGCACGATGCGATGAGGTCGCATCATGGTCACATCAACATGGCTCTCCCCATGTAGACGCCGCATCAACGAGGAACGAGGTTGCATCCACTAGACAAACACAAATGGTAACCAAGCCATTCCCCATGTAGACGCTCGATTTGAAAAGCACCCGCTCAAGACACACGTCGGTGGAATCATAACACATCAGAACCAGCTATTCCCCATGTAGACGTGCAATTTCACACATGCAAGGCAAACATCAGTGGCATCACAGCACGATCAGAGTGACCGAGACCACTGTGACAGTAGAAGGGCTATTAAAACAGCTACTAATCTCAGGCCCTGTTTTCTTCTGCGATGTCCTAAATGGAACCGTGAGAGTGATTGTGAACAAGCCCAACTCCGCAAATGACCTGGGCCCGTAGCCTCCAATTTCAGGCCTCTACTAGTGCAAATATACTAGTGCAAATAGACAAGACGATATGACTGCACCAATATATCCAGCTCATGCTGCTTCTGCCGCGTCTGCTGCTCTGCTGATGCTGTTGTGGCTACACGACTACGGAAATCACGATTCCCCATGTAAACTGCTCCCCATGTAGACGCCCGGTGATGTGAGAACCCCCCGCGGGTACTTCCCCGCGGAAAAATTGTGTGGAGTGGGATCTCAAAAAGATGATGCGACTTAGCTCCGTCACTGCACCATCAATAATATACCTGGCACTTGAATTTGCTCCAGGACGGAAGGGCAAAGATGAGCCTGCAGAGACGAACTGCTCCAGCAAAGCGACAAGAGAGGCGGACTCCTGAGAGCACCAGGCACCGAAACACTCCAAATTTTCAGCCGAGTGTTGACAATGATGTGCAAGGGACCCGTAGTCCAGAGCAGGCGGCACGGCACTGGCAAGACCGGGCGATAAACTTCGAATCAAGCCGCAAAGTCCCAACCCGAACGAACACCCCAGGACATTCGCAACAAGAAAGCCAATCTAAATCACAAGCGGCATCACTCATGTGTAGCGTCACCGGCTCCTGAATAAATAACAAGAAAGCCATTTAGTCTTTCAAAAGCTGCAGGCACAAACTCTTCAAGCAGCCTCCAAGGACATCCAGCGATGCTGCAGGGCATCTTCTGCGGTCATCCGCCTCGCAGAATGGGGAGTAAAGCGCTTGCCTCTTGGAGCTCCGATTCTGAGCCTTCAACTTCCCCTACTTCTGCATACTTCTGCCGTCGAGTCTTTAAGTGCACAGGGCAGTTGGTGTTCTCACCAGACTCCCTCGCACGATTCCTTACCACGTACGGCCACATGTTGACTGTCGGAAATTGGGCCGGCCCCGCGTCTCCTGTGCATGTCCCGCTCGAGCAAATCCTCGAGCAAGCATACGAAGGCCTGCACCGAAACACGAATGCATTCGACTGCAGCGCTCACTAAATGGCGAATCAGGCGCCGACGCAGGAGGAGGTTTGAACAGACAAACATGCTGACGATGCTGATGACAAAGAAGATGCTAAACAAGAAGTCAGTCTCCTGTTGCCGTTTCCGTGCAGGTAGGATCAGAAGTACAAACAAATCCGTCACGGGAGGGTGGGAGCTGTAGGCCTTGCAACTTTCATCCGCCAAGCCTGATTGCCCTCGTGCTCTCAACATCTTGAATTCAGCATCCCTGTTTACAAGACTTCTCTATGTCTGGCATCAGAGCCGTCAGAGTCTCTTGCTGCTCAGAAATCCAGAGCAACAAAAAGGCATCGACAAGCGAGTAGATCGCTGGGCCCGGAGCAAGTGACTGTAAGGCATGCGCGAAAACAACTCGCATCGAACCAACCAGAAGCATGCAGCGGGTCAGGGAACAAAGAACGAAGTGGTTCGACACGAGTTGGGCCTGTTGTAGTAGAAATCACTCTGCTCCGGGAATTGCAATTGTTGCGCCTGACTCGTGTTGGCCAGGACACCAGCTGGCTCAGTAGGTATCTGACGCCTGACCACCGAACTTCCGTTCACAGAATCTTCGCACGAGCTCGAGATCCCTACCCAAGCCAAGCTCACTGGCTCAGCCTGAGTGTTGCATCCCAGGTCTCTTCGTAGGTTGCCTGCGAAAGGAAACAAGGATGGAAATCCCATCTGCAGGCAGTCAGCATGGGAGCCTCCAGAAATGGGTGGCTCCCGGTGACAAGGAGATAGAGAAGCACGCCGAAAGAAAACATGTCCTGGGACGAGCTTCCGGGTTCAAGATGGTTGCAAACAAGCACGAGCTCTGAAGTGCGAGGTGAGTAAGGCAACGCAATGTTACAGGCCCACAGGCAAGGATTAGGTTTCGAGGGATAGCTGCTGACAGTGAGTATCTCGATTTAACTCTGGGGGCCAAAGAAGCGGAAAGAAAGCCATGACGAGCCAGGGAACGGATGAACAGCTGCCCTTCTGGCAGGCAAGCACCTGGGATGTCAGAGCGGCTGCTTCCGACATCGCTGGCGGGTGGCTTCGGACGCGACGCCTCGGGTGCCATGAAGCCCGAGGTTCCACAAGCCCAGTCCTCGGACGTGCAAGCACGAATACTGTGCTTTCGCTCCAGCTGGGGCTAAAGACAAAGAAGCCCTGAAAAGAGCCAGTCCGAAAAGCACACCCCGCCCGCCATCACCCCCCCGCACCTCCACCCCACCCCGACGAAATTTGTTGATGCATTCCGACACCAACACTTTCGAGAATCTGTCAACATCTTCTAGCTTGCCGACAAGGCTGGCCGTTGGCCGTTTGCTGATTATCATTGCATCCAAGAATCTCACCTGCTACCAGGCTTTCATTCAAAAACAACCGTGTTGGATCTCAATTCCGGCAACCGGAAACCATGATGACGCTGAGGCTCAATGCTGGCATCAGCAGACGGCAGGGTGGCAGCCATGTCCTCGGCCATGAGCTGTCTGCAGTCGGAGTATCTGGTCGCGTCTGGGATACAGTTCTTGCAGCAGCTGTCATGACAGATACCGAAGGAACAGTTAAGTGAAAGCAGCAGTGTACACAATCGATTGAATAGATGATTGTTGACAACCACTAGTCACTGGTCCTTTGCTTGCAGACTGCAGTGGGAATGCTTCTATGCTGTATCCCTGTTCAACATGCTTTGCTGCTCTTAGCAGATGCACATCAAAACGCTACAGGCAAGAAGTGATGTACAGGGTTGGTGCCACCCTTGCAGCTGATGCCGGCAGTGCTGAAGGAGTGACGACGAGAAGAGTGAGGCAATGTTGGAGTCTTGCCTGTCGTGCAGCCCCTCCCAGTCACGCACAGAGCCCTGAAGCATTTCGAAATGAGCAAGACTGCCGGTGGCCCCCCCAACCCAGCTCCAACTTCCGCGACCCCAACAGCCACCCCGAAACTGCAGACACTGCGTGCGTCCTGCGAGGATGCAGGCAACTACACGCCAACATACTGAGTCCATGTGTTGGTAACACGTTCCACTCGACCAGCTTGCAGCCACGGGTCGAGGTCACAAAGAACCACACGCCTGCCACCGTCGGCGACCATAATGTTGGAGTCTTTGACCTCTGCAGATGGCTGTCTGGCTTCGCCAGAGGACTCTGGACTGGTCCCTTCACTTACCCTGAAGAAAAACAGCAAGAGAAACCGAAGCATTCAGAGCCGCTGTAGCCAGACATGCCTTATGAGCCAGGGGACATCTCGATGTACGATGTTCCGGCGGTGGAGGTGTGCCAGCCCTCGCAGAACGGACCCGGCAGCGAATGCCGCCTGGAGGCCAAAAAGGTTTGGGTTGATCAAAGGTTTGCGCATCGCGAGCGGAAACGGTCCCGGTCCCCTCTGGTGTTAGACTGTCTAAACATCAGCCGCAAGCCAAAGCTCCAACAGATCCAGATCCAAGCAACCGTCCGAAGATTGTGAACAACAATGCGCGCAAAGAGGATTTGGGCAAACCCCAGCTTTTGGAAATCTTCTCGTTGGTCGGGATATTCTGATTGGTTCCGCTCGATTGAGTGTATACTTACTGACTCGTTCCTCTTAGATGCGTGGCAAGTTTTTACTTGACTACTTCGAGAGATTTGCTTGTTGCAGTTGAAGCAATGGGGCTGGGCTGAAGGAACATCGTTGGACACTGCCCTAACATTGCCCTGCGCTTAGCTCATCTTTTCAAGCTTAACGGGCACACTCATGTGAGTGAGCACCACCTCTGTGGGACCAGTAGCTGATAGAAAAAGACTCACCTCACGATTATGCTATGATCGTCTGCTTTTCTATACCATGCTTAACTACAGCAACAAACAAACCTTGCTGCAACGCCATAAATACTGGAGTCTCTCTGGAAGGATTACGGTGTTTGGTGATCATCCGATACCCGCGCCGTACCGTGCTCAGCCGCGATATTTAAGGCCTCCGGCTCTGTGAGGCAGCGCACAGTTCCCAGATCCTTGGCGTCGCAAACATCGTGCCCTGATGGCCCAGCACACTGTAGGCCAAGCTCATGAAGCTGGTCCTCTCTCTCGTAGGCTCTTGAAAGTTGCGGGGATTGAAGTTCGGGCTCACGACAATCTGAATCAAGGCTTGCATCCTGCACTTCAAGGAAGCCTGAGGCGCCGCGGCTGCGAGCCGAAGTTGACACTAAGAAGCTCCGAGGGTCGCGAAGGCTGCACTGGCAGCGCTCCATGACCAGAAAATGCAGTGGCACGCTCTCTACCTCGGCCAAGGTTTACACACAGTGCTATCCTCTCGGCATTCTGCTTCTTGCTACGATTGCGGGCGCTTGACTTGCAGGATCGTCTCATACCCATTGCTGAAGAGCCACATCTCCAGGCAGCACCTTTCGCGGGTGCCGTCCCCCAGCGCGGACCTAGCAGGACGGCAGCCATATCAGAATCGAGAGAACGCATTGGCCACATGGAGCCTTCTTCCGAGCGAAGGTGCCGAGTAGGTCCTCGAATGTCAAGTTATGTTCAAAAAGCTGTGAGAGGCTCTGGAGCAGACGTCCGGTGCGCAGGCTGTGAGATGGCCAGCAAAGTGTCTCGCAAAGGTTGCGAGAAGCCGTCATGTCTTGCTTCAGAACAGGTCGCTCGCTTGTTGATCACGTGCGTTTTATGTCATTCCTACCTTGGCAGAAGTCACATTTTGTGCTAAGCGTCCTCAGAAACCCCGCTCTTTGCACGGAAGAGCCCGAAGCTGCGCATGATGGATGGATGGCCTGCAGGTGTTTGTCACACGAGTCATGACACTTCCATCAAGGTTCAGGCTCTCGAGTCCCAGAAGAAGTAGTGGCTGCTGCGATGTTTTAGCCCGGTGTGGAGGGAGGGTGTGTGTGTGTGTGTGGCTGCTCTCTCACGCTGCTAGGCCTTGTGCCGCCAGCAGCAACTTTGCCTCTTGGATCGCCAGCTCAACGTGTTGGATCGAGGTGTCCTGCTGCTGCTGCTCTCAATCAAGAGGCCGTTTTTAAAAGAAAGGAAGAATTCTCAAAGACTTTCCGCCTGGTCGATTCGGAAGATCTTCGCCACCAAGGGGCTTCGGCAGAGTTCATCTTCACCCTGAGAGCAGATCCCGGTGAGAATAGAGACCCTTCATTCAGGCTGAAAAGATATGATACAAATATGTCTCTCCTACAGGGCGCCACCTTGGCCAGGAGGCTCTGAAGACTCTCGGCAGGTGAAGCGAAGAAGCGATTCTTGAAGAGACAGACCTTCTTCATGCCTCGCCTGGCGGTCTGGGCCACAGAGGATGTCCACAGCATGGACCACTGAGGAGGCTCCTGCGCAAGCAGCCGTGTCAAAAAGCCCGAAGAAGCCTTCGACAAAGGCTCTGAAGATTTCTCTCGAAGTCCAGGAAAGGGGTGCTCACGTTCATCGCACCGTCGCTTCACCAGCAGTGTGCTAAAGCGATTCGATCTCGGCTTGTCTCCGGGGTATTGGCTGAGTGCAGACTTCTCTTCGGGTTCTCATGAGTCCGAAGCCCAAGCAATTGAGTCCATCTCAACATCCTTCTGAAAGGCTTTGGGTTTAGGGCAAGAGCTTCAGTCTTTTGTCCACCAATGCCGAGTCCTTGGCCGAGCAGATCGCCAAGTACCACGCACCCGCTCCAGGGGGGCACGGCCTGCGCAAAGGGAGAGCGGACGTGGAGCTGCGGAGCTTGGCCCCCTTATGCGATTGAACCCCAGGCCCAGAAGCCACAGGCCTCCCCTTCTGGCTGTCCCACTGGCACCGACTCTGCACTGAAGCCCTGAGATATCTCAAGTTCGGATGCCAGGAAGCAAGCTAACCCTTCCCACGGCAAGAACCCAGCATGCGAACCCAATCTTCCGGGAGTCACAAGAAGCGTCGGGGTTTCGGGGCAACGGCAGCCAGGCATCAGACGCTTCAGCGCCCAAGCCCATCTTCCGTGAACCCCCCAACCGTGGCCGGCTGGGAGGGAGGAAGAACGAAAGCGGGCTGTCGCTCTTGTGGAGCCAGAAGCTCTGCGGCAGAGCAAGCACACATCACTGTCTCTCTCCATATGACCCTAGGGTGAGACGGGCGGTCCAGAGCGAGAGTGTGCGAGGGCGGCGCAAGCCGGAACGGGGACCTGGCAGCTGCCCGTTGCAGGCGTGGACGGTCTCGCCGAAGACGCTGAGCTCGTCGATGCGAGCGACGTGGTTTTCACCACAGGCCTCGTCTCTTCGCTCGACTCTCCTCTTCTCTCCCTCCTACAGAAACAAAGGCGTGCAAGGTGTGACGAAGTCACGCACTGAGCGACAGATGCAGCACAGACTGACCCTGTACGCCCACCTTTTGCTGCGGAGTCTTGAGGACAACGTATGCAAAGAGCTTCTTCGATTCAACCTGAATGGGATCACCAGAAAACGGACCTAGCCTTTGCCAGGTTGGAGTTCTGAAATTGTCTGTGCCGTTCGTCAGGTCTGCTCTCCGACTTAGCGCTGACAGGCTTCCTTTTGGGGGCTGTTGAGTCTTGGGGGCTAAGGAGCCTGAAAGGCCGTGTCCGAGAGCCGAGGCGCTTTGGCAGGCGACGTTGCTTCGTCAGCTGACCAGTCCTGCGAGTGCACTCTGCGCTGACCACAGTCACTGCAGACATCCGGCCGGGTCTCTCTGCCTCTCTACCGACGCGCACGGTCCTTCTCTCCCTCCTCTCGCGTCAAGAAAACGCCGTCCACTTTCGTTTCCTTGGAGGCTGGAAGTGAGCTTGGTGACGCTGGGCGCATTGCGCTACAGTGCGTAGCGATTGAATGTTCCCAGCAAGATGTCAAGTAGAAGAAAGGATGGGAAATCCATTCCTGCCAAAGAATCAATGCTCACGTCAGTTTCTGACATGCAGAGCCGGCCTCAAAACCCACAATTTTCTAGGAAGCCCTTCTGTTGACCCAGGCTCAGGAAGGGTGCCACTCTCGTTCGTGCAGTCCGCCGCTAAACCTTTCATGGCGCATGGTCGACTTCTGCTCGGGGTTTTGCTTTCTGTTTCGATCACCGGCCATTCACTTGGCTGATGCAGGAGGCATCGGCCGCGCTGACTCTTCTAAGCTCTCTTTCGCAGCTGCGTGGGAGTATGAGGATGCAAGATCTTCAGCCCGGCCTGCGCTCCACGCAATGCGTTCCACTCGAGCAGTGCCCTCCGCGAACTCACACTGCAAAGACCTGAGAGGTGTGTCGGGACGGGCTTCTGGCTTTTGCAAGTGGCTCCATCTCCTTACCATGCTCTCGAATCTTGTCCCCAAACCTTTGCGAGCTGAGGCAACGACAGCATACCTGAGACGTGTTGGGATGTCTTGGGTTTGGGTGCAGAGGGCTTACTTTCTGACCGGAAGTAGCTGGGCAAGCATTCTCCGAAACACAGCAAGGGCTGTAGGTGCAGCCTGCTGCTTGGCATACGGATCTTCAGGGTTCATCCAGCCGAAAGGCATTCCATTGACAATTCCTGCCGAGGCACCGTGACGCTTCGCCGAACGGTAAATCGCGACACTGGACTTGTTGCCTCAGTTCCCAACTTCGCCAAACTGCAAGCCGCTAGGGCCGCTAGGGCCGCTAGGGTCGGCAAGGCGCGCCGGCGCTGAGCTTTAAGCGCTCTGTGGCATGCATCGGATCCCTCCCTGCCCCTCCCCCTCCCCACCACGCAATGCGTCCATGCAGAGGGTGCTTGAATCTGCATGCAAGTCATGTCCTGAGAAACCTCCAAAGCACAAAAAGCTGTGACGAGTCCAGTGGTGGCAGAGGTTGAATGTTGAAGCGCCGAGCCACCGTCACTTGCGAAGGCAGCAGGGTTCGTGTCATTGTCGATGCTAAGATCCTGCGAGCACGAGATACAAGGTTCAGAGTCGTCGTGCTTCAGGCCAGCCCACAGATGATTGAGGCCACCATCTATTGGAGTTCGACTCCCTGTCTGCAACCTCATGAAGGCCACCACAGGGCAGACTTGGCCAAATCATGCTCCGTTCCTCGCTGGTCTCAATCCATTGGCAGTTCGTCAACCTCGCAACAGGCAGCAAGGAGACGATCCTTTTCTAGGAACCTCTGTTAGCAGGAGGCACTGGAAAACCGGCGACATGGACACATGCATAGGTTGAACCAAGCATGCGACATGCTACGCTGTCCGCGAGAGCAGACGCCAACTATTCTCTTTCAGGAGCCCCAATTCACCAACCGTGATGCCATGTTCCCATCAAAGGCGCTTCAGCGGCGCCGACGCAGCGAATTGTAGCCTCGGCTTTGCATTCAGTGAAGCGCTGGAGCATCGGCAGGTTCTATCGGCAGAGTCTTGCCTTCGAGCTAAGGGCAGCGGTTCAAACAACACGTGCGGCGAGCCAGAAGTTTGCTGACGCAGCACTTCAGTCTGAGTCTGCATGTGCTCTTGCCAAGCGTACCTCGACTCCTCTGCAGAAACCCCTCCAACTCAAAAGTTACTGAGTTTCACCCCCAAAGGTGCTGTGGAACTCCGGGACTCGAAGGTCTCTGCAGTACTTGCAAGCTGACACTATGCCGTTACGGCAGCTTGCTCGGTAAGGCTCTGGCCAGGTGGCCACACATGCATTTAGCAGACACCTGTGCTCAGGTCCAGTGGCTCCAGTGGCAGGTGCAGTGTTTCCATGAAGCTAGCGATTCGCTCTGCCTGCTGAGAGAAGGTGTACACCTACATCAAACTCGTTCCCGCTTCAGCTCGCAGAATCCCTTCCCGGTGCGTGCCGGCGCATGGTGAGGGCTGGCCGCTCCAGCGTGGCAGGGTCCAGAGCCGACAAACGGGCAGGGCAAAAGAGCGCGAGCTGAAGCTCAGCCTCCTTCGCACTCCTCTCAAACAGACACTATGTCATATATAAAGAAGGGGGTCAATCAGGCAAAAGAGCCCACCGCGAAGCCTCGGGTGACGCGATTGACTTGCTCGGGCTGCGGTGAAGACACCGGATTTCACGCAGCAGATCGCTACAGCCGCGACCGTTTTCCAGGGGTGGAGTCAGAGCACATGCCTGCGTCATCTTGAGGTCTGCGTAGATACGGGAGTAACAGGAGTGAACGCGAATTGCTTGACACAATACTGCCTTGCATCTCAACGCTTCTATCGCCGTGTGCGAAAACGAAGCTGTCGGTCACCAGAACCCTACGCCACGCTACATCTTTTCTGCGCTGCCCAAACGTCTGTCCGGGATATAGCATGCCGCGTAGGCGAGCTTTTGCGCCGAATCGCAAACCCTTCGGGTGCTGGCAGATATCTAATTGACGAGAGGCCGCTTCCCGAGACACACCACTGTTGTAATAGCCAGCCACTCCGAGCTGAAAGGTCGGTGGGTGGTGTGAGTGCGCGCTGCTGCGGCGCGGCTGCTCGTGCATTTATGCAGGCCGGGCCGGATATGAGCATGAGAAATCCAATCCAGCTGTGTGGCCGGGAAGTTGTCACCTCGGAAAGCCCCACGCTGACACTATGTTAAAACTCGACCTCGGCACGATGCTAAGCTCAGGAACATGAGAGAGCGAGACAAGGAGCAACTCGCGACCTCCTTTTGGGGCTCTCTTGAAAGCCTTAACCGCTACACCGATGAACTGCTTTGCACATCATTGCACTTGTAAGGAACAGCAAGCTCTCAACGGTAGCCGGTCAAGACTTCCCGCTATGCGTTGGGTGTGGGGACGCTGGTCGCAACTTGTCCGGTCACGCCTCTCAGTGCCCGAGCCGCTTGCTTGGAGGGTCGGGGATGGGTTCGCGCCAAGCGCACAAGCTAGGGAGCTCGCGAGCTTCGGCGGCTTCGGCTGCAAGGCTGCAAGGACAGTGACAAGTCTGCCAGTGTCAGGAGTCGGGACTTTCTGGGGACGGCTCCCCAGCAAACCCATCCGAGACTGCATCGCTAGCAGCTCCTTCAGTTCCGTGTTGCCATGAGAGGCGCGTTGACTTGCAGGCTGCTATCTCAGAATCTCTTAGGCGTATTGCAAAGGCGCTAATTTTGCATAAGGGTTCGGGCTTTCAAGGGGTCGAGAGGCGTTCGGGGTCGTGAGTTGGCATCAGTTCTTCCGGTGGCCGCGGCGTCCAGGTCGGCGGCCGTTGCCCTCCGTAGCCCTGCGCGAGAGAGGACTGGTTTTATGCTCACTGGGTGGTTCTTGTCGCATTGAGGAATGGACAAAGTGCGGAAGCCTCGCAGAATCGGCCGCTCTGCCAGCGTCCATTCCTGCTCAGAAGTGCTGTGCGGGGCAACGAGAGGCAATTGACGTAACGAGGCGTGCCAGCATGCAAGCTTGTTGAAAGCATGCCCCGTCCGTTGCCACCCGAGGGCCTCAGTGGCGACGAGTGCAATGCAGCGTAAGCGGTCAACCGCAAGCACGGCACGGACAGCCTCCCCCGAAAGCCACGTCAGGCTTCTGGGACCCTCTATACGAAGTCCGAATCGCCTAGGCCCGGAGGCATCCGACAGAACCTTTGCGGGACAGCCTGTAAAGCCCGAATCCTGGGCTCTGGCCCTGGCCTTCTGGGCCTTCTGGGACTGGGCCCCATGCTTTAGCGCCTCGCAAAGCTCGCCGCAAAGCTGCGCAGCACAGCGGCAAAGCTCCTTGCGCACCTTCCATCTGACAAAAAAGGGTGCAGCTTCGTGCCTCATTTGAGAAGCCATGTTCTGATCAAATGGAGAGATCCGAGGCCCTCTTCCACCCAGACCTACACACCTCCGCGACGAAGCTTTCGGCATTTAATTAAAGCGTTCAGAGGCCTCCGGAGATTGATGAACCAATCCAAACTTCCCCAGGGTTTGTCGGAGGCTTAAGAATTGAAAGGCACCGGATTCTTCTATGAGTTTTTTCATGACAGCTCACAGTGGCCTCTTTGTCGAAGCGTTTGCACACCTCCTCTGCAGACAACCTTCGGATGCCGAACGCAGGATGCTCTCCCACTCCAATCGCACAAGCATGGATAGGTAGGTCCCCCTTCTGATTGCTCTCTTGCGTCTTAGAAGCCTGTCTGCCGGGTCATTTTCTGCCATCTCCCCGAGCAAGGCTCGCCTCAGCAAGTGTGTTCCTAGTCAGTTCCCATCGAAGCCAAACAAAACATCAACATAGGTGGGTTGAAACTCTGCTCGGAGTAGTGGCGCTGCCTCGGCCACAGTCGGCTTTATCGACCATGTACTGTACGAGTATTGCACGTCCAGGCGGGTTTCAAGTCATCGCCTTCTGTCGGCTTCTTGCACATATCGCAACTTGCCAACCTGGCCTTCAGGCAGCATAAAGACCGAAACTCTGAGGCGGTCGACGTCTTTGGGAGTCGGCTGATGATGTATCCCGGCACTACCTCCGCAACGAGTCTCCGTAGTGTGAACTCGAAGTATTGAACTCTGTTGAATCAAGGTACTCTGCTTTGGATTGATTTGCACGGCTTGGAGTATCATCGGGGGCGGATGGGTCTGCATTCATCAACATGATCAATACTTCCGGACTGTTCGGGCTGGCAAGCCCCGGTAAAAAGGAATCAGGCTACAGAAGCCCGGTCTGAAGGTTCCCTTTTTCCACTTTGGATAGACCCCGCCCTGGGGCAGAGCGTGGCATGCAAAACCTCACAAGCATTCTGGCAACTCTCACACGAACCACCAGCACACCGAATCACTGTCCAAGCATTGCCTGCTCATGGTTGAACTTGTCGAAGGTGACGATGCGCTCCATGTGCGTCCTCTGCCACATTCGGGGAGTTTGTCACCCTAGAGCATTAGTAGTCAATGACATCCTCTCACCACAGCACTCAAGAAAGTCATGCGGAAAGACATGGTGCCCAGGTCTAATTGTAAGTTGCCGAGAGATTTCAAGACAAACGCTATCTTAGAAGGCATCGCAAGGTTGAACTTGCGACCTTGTGTTGGGTATACGGTGACTCGGGACCAGACAAAACAAACTGTGATGAGAAGAAGGCCATTGGGCTCGGAGGAGTTTGTGGAGCTGTTTAGCTCGAGGCGTTTAAGCTTCGGAGCTATGTCTTCGCCCAATGAGCAGTCCGGAAAGGTTGCAGCAACAACTCGAGGAGGATGACAGCACCTCGATTCGCTCGCAACAGCAGCTTGGGTTGGGCTGGAGAATATGGGCCATGGTTTTCATTGGTCCGCCATTCCGCTCCATCAGACGACCAATTTATGTGCTCAAGCACCCAGAACGGCAACCAACAGGCACAAGGCCATACCCTTCCCTGGGTGCGATCCTGCCGTGATCCTTCAAGCCAGGGTGCAGGAGTAGATGTCGACTTTGTCAGAACATGCCGCGCGCCGTCCTTGTCGAACAGACTGCAGTATCTCCTGAAGACGCGGCTGAAACTCCACTCGGAAGTCTCTGGCTCAATGACCTGAAACTGCCCGTTCGATAGTAAGTTGCAGAGATCCTGCTCGTGAGCAGCTAATGGCTAGTTGCAGCAACAGTAACGTTGAAAGGTTTTTGTCTGGCGCTGGAAGAAGGACTTAGGCTGACCCCCCAACTGCGGAAGACAATAGCATCAGTCATCACGCCAGCGACATGCTTGACATGCTTCTGTGAAATGCAAGTTGACAAGTCGATTGCACTTCCCTTGCCCGGCCGGCGCGGCATAGCCAGGAGTACCGCCAGTGAGACCGCTGCGGGTTGTCAGCCTCGAGATGCAGGAAAAACCCTTCTGCTCTTGCGGGGAAGGGTGCAGTGAGACAGGGCCCTGGGCTCAATTCTGAAGGACTGTAAGCGAGGCTTCAGATCCTCCCCTCGGTCGTTTTTGGAGAAGAGCGAACATTAACCAGAGACGGGTAACTCTTGAAACCTACTCTTCCGCTTTCGCTCTGAGAGAGTGTCCAGAATGCATTTGCTGCACTCGTCCAGTTCCAAGGCTCTGGCATGTCAGAAGAAAACTGGTCGAACTGTCGGAACAGCTGGTTCTCGCCTATAACCATCACTGAGTGGCCAGAGGCTGTTGATACAAGTACAGAAGGTTCAGTATCGGCGATCTGAACATTTCGCTCGCTGTTGGGAACATCCCGTCCGGCAGAATGGCGTGGTTGTTGCATCACGAGCCGTGAATTCATGACCCGCAGAACTTGCAAATTGTAAACCCCGAACCCCCTAAGCCGCAAACCCTCATCCTCAATCCTAGAGCTCGGCTTGGAACTTCGAAGCTACGGCTTTGAAGCAGCCTGCAAGGCCAAAGTCGCCAATGCGGACCACTCGGACCTCGTTTCAGCCAACGCTCGGTGGCTTCTGTGGGGCCGGGGGGGAGGCCTTAGCCTTAGCCTTCAAGTTTCTGCTAGAGATCCCCAAAGGCTTGTTTTCTACCTTTTTGTTGGACCCTGCTGGCTGCACTCCTCAAAGCTGCAACAGACAGCAGAGCCTCTGCGCACTGCAGGAATTGAAAACAATCTCGGTAAACCGATTTCCTGAGCCCCGAAGACCGACCGGCCCCGAAAGCAGCCCCGCCTTTGCGCGCTCGGCTACGCAGAAGATGTTGTCGGGCCTTACAGAATCTCAAGCAGAATCTTTTACGGGCTAGTGGCGAGAGACGTGATATGGTCGGGGAGCCGATTCTGCAGTTGTACACCCGACCTGAGCATTGGCTTTGCTGAAGATGCTCCGGGCTTTGCACTTCAAGTCGGCATGAACGATGCGCTTGCGGTGGATGTGGCGCACCTCAGACCGGAGCTGGTCAAATGCAACCCGATGCCGTAAGGCAGGATCTCAATTGGGAAGAGCTGGCATGGGCGAAGAGCCTTCGCGAAGTCTAGAACCGGGCTCCTTCCCTGAAAATTCAGGAAAACTTCGCTCTTGAAGCTCAGCAAACCCCCACCGAGCCCAAGGTGCGGAAAGCATCAACGATCCGAAGATGTCTGCGGCATCCGAAAGCCTGAGCAGACCGGCAACAGCCTGAGGGCCTTTGGGATTCCGGGCCAAGCCGAGAAGAGCACATCTCCAAGCCCTTCGAGGGAGTCAGACTCTACACTGCTCTCCAGTGACAACAGAACTCCCGCCAGAGTTTGGCTTTGCTTCCGGGACGTGGAGCCGTGTCGTTTACCATCAGCTCAAGGTCGCCAAGCAGCGTTCGAGTCTCCCGCTTCAGCCAGGATCGAAGCGTCAGCGTCTGCCTCGAATTTGTAAAATGGGGCAAGGACGCTGAAGCTCCGATGCTGTAGCTAGTGGCTACCTGCGTGCTCTGCCCAGCTCTGACGCCCCGGCCGCTCATCCGAGACCGTGCCACCAGGAGGGGGCCCCATGAGCTCCATTTCGATCAACAGCACCTTCTACGAGAGCTCTGTTTGTCGGAGGCTGGCGAGGGCCGCTGCAATCATGCGCCAGCTTCTCAGAAATCCCCCGCAGCGCCCAGGGCGGCGCTCTCTTACCGCCACGAAAAAAATCGATCCAAGCAAAACCCCTCCTCTCTGTGCTCTGGCCCAGGGCCTGAGCTCCAGGGCCCCGACCACATTCTTGGACGTTGCCTTGCTGTCCTGCGTGTGCCATGATTGGACATGGAAACACCCTCACCTCGGGCTCGTCGTCTGAGGGGGTTTGGGAATGAGAAGCGGTGGGTACAGTGCATACCGTCCAACCACATGTGTCAGGTACAAGAGCTTGCGAGAGAGAGCCAGGAGTCTTTCTGGGTAGACAAGTCAGGGCTCCGAGGGATTCCGTGAGACTTGCGAGGCTTCGGCTGCTACAAATCCGGTACGAAGGTGCAGCTGTCTTGAGGTTGTGAGGGCACTGCATCCCATTGCCGGCCTCCCAGGCTGGCTTTGGCCCTGCATTGGACACGGGCTCGAGCTCGAAGTCCTCCACCTCCGGGGCCTCGAAGATAAACCTTGAAAACGGATTGGGAACCGGATTTCTCTGCTGCAACACACGCCGCTGTGGCGACTGTCCAAGAGTTCGAGAAAACTCGCCATGCACCGCGGCACGAACTCTCGGCCCCGGTGATGCAGGGACCCCCACCCGCAGCTGCTGTTCAGTCCAGGTGGGGTGGGGTAGATGTCGCTGTGGCTTCGAGTGCGCCTTGGTCCAGCTCTGCAGGGTCTACCTACCTGCTATCGCAAAGGCCCCCCTAGCTGCAAGCCTTGATCCTTGGGGGGACTCGTACCGCATGCGGCATCGACTGGGTCTCTCGAAATGCAAAAGACAGGGCGACCCAAGCGCCTGAAGCCACCGTGGCTGCCGGAACGACGGACCTTACAAGCTCAAGACGCGTGCGAGCAGCGACTTGGGACTGCTTCCGCCGGGGCCCCCGGGCGCGGAATCGCAGTGAAGACACCCAGGAGGTCTCCTCTTCCGTGACCTGCCCGAAAGTCCGCGGGCAGGAGAGCGAGCTCGGAGGGCTTTGCTTGCCCAATTCGCCCGGACCACCTCCACCTCTGTCTTCATGGGCTTTTGCGCCTGAGCCACGGAATGAACGGGCTGTGCGCAGCTTCCAGACTCAGCTGGAGTCTGCCCCTTTCCTTTTAGCAGTAGCTTCCAGCATATCTGCAAGCGAGATGTTTAGACTCTGATACAAGTTCCAAAAGATGGGGCGCAGCAGCTGCCCTCCTGGCCCTGGGAACCTGGCCCCTTGGCCCCTCGCGGCCCTCGCTCCTCCCACCAGCTGCTGGATGTCCTCTCTGCGCGCCCGCGCAGACCCACTTCAGGCTCTGGGAGTCATTTTCGGTAGCGTGGCGCTCGATCACTTGCAAGCCAAGAAAGACGAACCCCCGTCCTCCGGCAGATGCTCTGGCTCCTGCCGGGCTCGAAGCGACAGCTTTACGCCGAAGCCCTGAAAGAAACACACTTCCTCTCGAGTAGACCCCTCTCTGCCGATGCACATTTCTCACCCAGCTAGTGTTGAGGCTCTCGAGTTTCGCCTTCGGCCGGTGCCTGCCAACAACTAGCAGCTCCCTCTAGAAACCGGGCAACTCCATGTACCTCTGGGAAACCCTTAGCCGCCTTAGCCTTACACCAAATTCCACCGGTGCGGCACGTTCGAGCTTTTCCCGGAACCCTCCCGAGCCCCAGCCGCCCCAGCCTCCAGCCAATAGGTTTCGTAGCGCACGACATGCGCAGAGCCTTAGATCGAGACGAAGCCCTCAGCCGTGGGAGTCCCAACTAGTCGATCTGTTCCCCGTCGGCCCTCATCAGTCCATGCAAACCGAGAAGAGCGCTGACCATCATGTCGCCTATCAGACTTGCCATCCCGAAATTCCGAAGTCTGGCATATGGTGAAATTGCCGGCGATCCCGCTTGGGTACCAAGGGCTCTGCTGAGGTCCTGAAAAGTGGACAGGCATTCCCGCAAACCTCCACGACAAAGCCACAGGGTTTCCACAAGAAACGGACATGCGCTTGCGAGTACTCGGGGCCAAAGACAAACGAGAGCGGAATCCCGCTGCTGATGCCGAGACATGTCGGAAAGGCTTTCTAGACCAGGCCATGTCGAAACTGGGCGTCTGCAACGAGTCTGGCACCTTGGTGGAGTGCGGCGGCCTCGCGCGACTCGGGCAGCCTGGGTTGAACATCTAGTCTGGTCAGCGTTTTTTTCCAATATTTTCGGAGATTGGAGCGACTTGAGATCTATAGGGATCGGAATGTGCGTCTGATCCAAAACCTGCAAAAGAGAAGTGACACTCCACTTTCGGGGCCAGGCAGGATCGGGATAGCTTTCACGGCCACCCAGCGACCTCGCTGCCTGATGGTTGTATGCGATGACCCAACAACACGATGAAGTGAACTTTTGTGGCATATGGTCTCGGAAGCAATGCCACGGACAAGAGCATTGCAAGGGCAGGAACGACAGGAGATTCGAATTTCTGCTTGCACCGTGTGCCTGGAGCCCACTGCCTCGTCGCTGACACGGGCAGCCCAAACACTCCCCATGCCACCTTTCAGAAGTTGCAAAGCAGGACTTTGCAATTTTTTGAAGGGAGGTCTGCCCGAAACCTGGACATCCTATATCGCTCACTCTGTTGACCAGTTCAAGCCTTCAAACTGCCAGCTTTTGTTGCAACCGTCCCTGCAATTTGGCTAAACGCGATGCCGAAGTACGACAGCAGAAATGAACCCACGTGATTGAAACCCTGTAAAGCCAACGACACGTTGATGGTGAATCGGAAGCTGCTTTCGCTCGTCAGGGACAAACCCTCTGAGGAAGGTGCCACTTCCCAGGCAGTGCCCAAGCCTCGTCTAACAACTTGCGCACAGCTTTCTTGGGCCGCTGTATTAAGTCTTTCTCTCTGGGAAATTCGAGATGAGCATCATGTATTTCCAATTGTCTCCGGCTATCTGCCTGCGCAGCCTGGATCACCTATGCGGGGGCTGGCTTCTGCAAGTCACGCCGGCAGGCGCTGTTGCGCAAGCATTCGCTCGTTGAAATTGTGTGCAGCACTTGAGAGACTGCTCAACCGTCCGGTCACCGCCGGGGGGCGGGCGGCGGCGGAAGTCTCGGGGTTCTGACTCAGGCGGCTTGCTGAGGCCCGGTCTCTGCGTAAGTCTCGCGAAATCGGCCGTTGCTCCAGAGTTGCCGGCCTCTCAAAGAAGACTCGAACTCGGACTTTGCATGGGAGAAGGTGCCAGAACTGACTCGCCGGCAGGGTGGTGGTCATCAGCAGAGCTCTTCGCAGTCTGGGAAGCACTCCATCTGTGTCACGAAACCGGAACACACCAAGTGAGTGATTTAAGGCGTGCTCGACCTTTGTCGGAAGGGATTTTCTAGCAGATTCGGGCATTGCTCCAGATGCCATCACATCTATCGCGTGGCTCAGGGCAGGTGGTAGAGGATGCTGGCCCGAAGAACTCTGATTGCGGTCTCTCATACAGGAGTCTGCGCAATTGGCGGTTCTCCCAAGCTGCCCTCATGGCCTCCAGCATAGTCCTTGGGGACGGTAAGCGGCGATGCCGGCAAAGAAGGCCCAGGAGATGCCTCATGAAAATGGAGCTCTGAGGGTAGGCCCTTCTTCGGTTCTTCAGCACGAGCACTCTGCTATCATTGTTACTTTGTCGTATTCAATTTCGTCGTTTGCTTCTATCAGAGCCGCAGATCCCGCATGTTATGCCTCTCTTGAATTACAAGAAATGGGCTCAAGTAAGGGTGCTATCTTTACAAGGGTGCCGCTGCAAGCTGGCACTGAAAGTTTCGGGAGCCACAGATTCCCAAAGGGCTCTACTTCGGGGTGACCCGGAACACTGCTAAGTCTAAGTGGCACATTCGCACCTTGCTACAGATAACTCAAACTGGGACCACAACCCGCAAAGAACCGGTCAGCACACACCGAGTCTGAGCCAGGTGCTGTTTCCACCATCTGGCAACGAAGAAGCCAGCCTATGCGTCTGGAAGCCAGTAAGCCTTGCGCGTATGGGCAGCCAGATGCCGCATGGATTGGCTCCTGTTTTTTTTTTACATCGTTGGCTAAGCGAGACATTGCTGGCTTTCGACTTACATGCACGGATCTTTGTTATGCAGGAATGCAGGAAGATGGCTAGAGCCAGGGAGTGTGGGCTGCATGCTTTCCGGGCCGCTGTCGGTGCTTTCCCTTCCCGAGCTGCAGCTGGAAGCGGCGGTCATGTGAGCAAACTAAGAGTTGCCGACTGCATGCACACTGGAGGAAGGAGGGGGGATGCACAAGCATGCACAGATGCACCTGTGTGTAAGTATGCACGAAAAAATGAAAAGTGCTGTGTATGGTGTGGACGGCATGTAACTTCTGCACGATGAGCCTTTCTGGCCGTCTGCCTTTGGTCTGCTTTGCTCAGGGGCTTGGAGAACGAGCAGTCCCCGCTCCCCGCTCGTGCGAGCGGCCCCATCCACCCTTTTGGCAGTCTGTCTGTCTGTCTCTGTCTCTGGCGGTGTTCCGGCCGGTCCGCATGTCTCCTTGCATGTCATGTCTGTGCGTCTGCCTGTACCTGTATGGACGCAACAGGAAAGCCGAAAACATCCAACCAGTGCCTGAACATGCAAACTACTGGACATCCTTACCCGGTTCCCTGGAGATTGCAGAAGGGTTTAACTGCCGCAAGTGCAGTAGCCCTCCAGGATGCAGGCAGGCGATGGTCATCAGGAGATGACCACTGGGCTCATGACAGTCAGAGGACATGAAGAGGATGATGATGTTGACGACGACGATGATGCGGGGTTCAACCGAGAGGAAACAGAAGCAGCAGCCATCCTTCTTTCTCTGCCCATGGCTGGCGAAGCTCTTGCCTGTTGCCGGCTTGCCTTGAGCCCCGTTTGGGGCAGGCCCCGGCCTACTAGCGACCGCAGTCAGGGCCTGAGAAGCTGAGGCCTTCCTTCTTTAGAGAACACTGAGTGCGTTAGTTTTGCTTTACTCCAGGGCAAGGATTTCCTCCGGACTCTTTTGGACTTCCAAGCTGACCCTGGCAAGGCGAAGAGCAGAGGCAGCTGCCTCTCGAAACTTAACGGCAACTGGAACCCCATTTAATGATGCAACGAGGGATCTGTGCAACAAGAGGGACCTAGTCTTGGTGCTGCCTGTGCTGCAAAGATTGCAGTCGGATGGTGACCGGAAACCCCACCCCAACAACTGCGTCTACCACTGCAGGCTTTGTGTTTAATTGCGTGCCCTTTTCGCCGGACAGCTCTCTTTCAAGCCCGGCTGGAGGTGAGACGTAGGGGCATCGGTAAACGATGCAGGGCAGAACTCAAATCTCTGTTCTTGGCACTTCAGACTGCAAGTGGGTGGTGGGCAGGTCCATCATTCGTGGGTAGGCAAGAGGCTTGCGAGATGCTGCTTCCAGGAGATTGTAAGCAACCGGACCTGACTATGTCGCGCAGCCTACCCAGCAAGGCCAGGCAGGTGAGTCACTTGCAGCGAAAGCTGCCAAACAAGCCTGCAAAGGATGGAGCGCAACGGACCTCCCAATCGCTACAGCACGTCATGTCTCGTCATGTCGGGCCTTGGGAGAGGACCCTGGAGCACTTGTAGCCTCGGGCTCATCCCGTGCGGCCTCTCGATGGCAGGTTGGTGCAAGATTTTGAGATTTGGTGACTTTCGCAACGACATGCTTTCATGGGAGCAAGGACAACGAAAGATCGGCCTACCCGAGAGGACGAGCTGATCTCGGCGCCTGTACTAGCTACAACGGAGACGAATGTGGTGTCGGCTATCAGTCTTGCCGCGGCGACTACTACGACTACCACTGCCGGTTAGTCCCGAGGGTAAGCTGTCGTCTTCGGCTTCATTGTCGGCAGTCGTGGGTAGCAGCAGCAGCAGCAGCAGTGGTGGCTGTAATGCTTCACACCAGCCGCACCAGCTTTGTCTTTACCACTCATCCGATTATGCAGTCGGAGGTGTAAATTGCTGGCTCAAGCGCGCCTAGAGGATGGTACAGAACTTGGACTTCTTTCTGTCGCCTTGCCGGGAAGACATTGGAGACATCTCGCGGGCTTTGAAGCTCGTCTTTTGGAGAATCGAAGGGGCTGAGAGCCTGGGTACGATGCTTCATACGTAGCTACTCCATCAAGTATCGGCGTCGGGGTAGGATGATGCAAGCCGAACGCCCGACGGAGAGAGCAGAAACAATTTGCTATCATCGGAATTGGACTTCCCGCTTTCTCAATCGAAGCCAGCGATCAGCCTACCCCAAGCTCCCTCATGCTGTGTCCCAAACTGTGCCAGGTTCAGAAAGCCTTCAGGCTGCAGCCTCCTACCTTAGCAGGTGCGACAAAAGCTTCAGCTGGGGCTTCCGCTGGGCACGTGGGCCGGCTCCGGTGGCGGAGGCGACACTGCCTGTCAAATTCAGCGGCTTGCCCTCATTAGAACACCTCTATCTTGAGCTGCACACTCATACATCTCAGGTATATGCAACATACTCTAAAGAGGGCCCCCCTGATTCGAAGAGCACTGGCAGCTCTCCTCCTCGGCCGCGAGGCGAACGTTTGCCTGCGAGGGTGTTTGCCTCAGCAGAGCAAAAAGGGCTTTAGAGCTTTCGGCCCTTCTTCATCTTGCACGAGTGAGAAGCAACAGGCCAATGCAACAACCATCCTAGTCTCGATTCTAGGTTTCATCCATGGTCCATGGATGAAAGCCTCCTGAGTGCAAGGCTGGATGTCCGGAGCTTTCGGAGATTGGTCCACATCGTCCGTGGCCGCACCACGAACCCCCAGACCTCCGGGACAGCGAAGCGGTTCGCTGAGCTGAGCCCTCCCCGGCCCCGATGTGGGCTCCCACCGTCGCCGGCAGAGACTTCGCCCGGAAGCGCTGGGGCCTTCGGAGCAGCTTGCCTTGAGACTCGGGGGCCGCAGGTGCCGAAGAATGTGCAAAGAGAGCACCCAATCCGAAAGCCGGACGATTTTGGGATGCTTGAATCGAGAGATTTTCGGGGGACCAGTGTGCAATCTGACAATCTGATGGAAGCTGCTTTGCCCCAGTCTGGGCACGCCGGCGCAGCCGGAGCAAGGGCTTCCTGGCGCTCTCTTCTTTGCGCAGACAGCCGTCAGGCTCTGCCAAGGACAGTACGGACACCGTGCCTGCGGCTGTGGCGCCGCATCTGTGGCGGCGCTCACCTGTCGAAGTAGTGCCAATCTCGCGGGCGTTGTGACGATCTTGCTGGAAGGCCGATTCTGGCAGCTGAAGTCTAGACCCAAAGGGATCAACTTCCTCGTGCTCCCTTGCAAAGAAACTGAGCATCCCGGCCGGTGCAGGAGGCACTGGCGGCTTCTCTTTGGCGCCTCAGGCGCTCAGCTCGGCGGTCCAGCTGTTCAGCTGTGCTCTCCTTTGCGCCTTTTACACTTGATGCTGGCTTTGATATTGCTGGGAGCATGTTGCGAGCTGAAACTGGCAGGAATAGCCGTGAGCTGGTGGGAATCTGCAAGAAGAGCCATTGACTCGGGAGTACCTCCAAAGCTCAGCCATTGACTTCCTCCCCGGCTTAAAATCCAGACACTATCGATCCCGGGTCGAAGCCGGGGCCTTGATTCTCCAGGCAATCACTATTCGGCGTAGAAGGCCCGGGCGTTTGAATGGTCTCGGCTCGTACGCCCAATCGGCGTTGCTGGGAGCCCAGCGAGCCAACTCCTCCGCAGCAGACGCCGCAGCCGAGTCCCGGCCGAACCTCCGACCAGTGCAGGACTCTGAGGACGCTATAGCTGGAGTTTGCCACCTGAAACGGCTTCGAGACCACGGGCTCCGGGTAGCTGGGTGGCGGGCACTCGGAAAACAAGCTTCGACTGCAGGTACTCAAGGAATCGCGACGTGACTGGATCCTGCCCGATGTGAGGGTCACGCTTGCGCAAAGGCCTTGAGATCGCGTAAAAGGCCGGAGCACCCTGCAAGTCCTGGGTGAAGGTGTGGCTGTAGTTGAACTCCGGATTGCAGTTCTGCCCGAACCTTGGCTTCCCCTTGTGCCCTCAGAAACTCTGCAATGCTCTGCTGACCCAGGCAGCCCTGCACAAAGGTTCCAAGCAGATGGTACTGGTCAGATTCGGATCACAGATCCAAAGGCCGAATCTCGAGGCTCGGCGCACACCTGAAGTTCAAACTCCTGAAGACCCTCCCTCACCGAGAGAAGAGCACCGTTGGCAGCTGATGGGGCCTTAGCCAGTTTGGACAAAGAGGCGCAATAAGCAGGTCTTGACTTCAGTGAGTTCCGTGAGCGAGAACAACAAGAACACCATCTGAATCTGACACTCCCTTAACCTTTAGCTTCATCTTATCCTTCATAACCATTACATCCTGCGCGACTCGTCGTCGTCACCGCCAATGTCACCACCGTCATCGCCAGCGCTTGTCGAGGCTCCCTTGTGCTCCTGCTGCAACGACTATCCGAACCCTGAGATCAGCATCTTCAACCACCCCGAGCTCGTCGAGGTTGCAGAGTCTGCGCCGAGCAAGAAGCGATCAGTCTGATCGGAGAAGCAGGGGTGTTTCAGATTCACTCCACAAAGGAAAGTACCCCCTTAGTTTCGTGGGGGTCCCGGGGTCGGGAGGTACTCATCGCAGTCCCAGCGTCTTCTCATCGATGAAGTAGGTATACTCCGCTCGCACGTCATGTGCCAGAGCCTCCCAGGGAGGTTTTGGGGGGTACGGTTCTGGCAGCTCGATTGCCTTCCAGCTATCGCGTGACGTGAAGCTGCCCTGAGGCAATCCCGGCTGCAGAGGTCACGGCGGTTTCAGGGCCTCTGGAAGCCCAGTGGCGCCCGGAACGGCCACAAGGAACTTCATGCAGGCGCCCAGTAGCTCCTGACACTGCGATCCATTAAGCAAACGAAACTGCGGTAGCCCTTCCAAGACGTATTGCAGCTGCAGGGATTCTTGCAATGGAACAGGGTTGACGGTCCAAAAGTTGCATGCTTTTGCATGCAACCCGTCTCTTCGGCATGAGGGCAGATGAAGCAATGAAGCAAAGCAAATTGCGGATGAAGCGCCACTCAGGAATCTTGGCTCATCTTTTTCGGTGGCTACCGTTTCTGAGCCTTGAAACCCTTCTCATCACTGCGACTTGAAGTTCAAGCAGCAACCACCACCCGAATCGAACCTCCGGATCTTCAACCACCTCTTCGTCCGGGATGCCCAGGGAACCATCCTGGCTCTTCATGTCAGAGGAGAAGTCTCTGCTGGTTTGGCCGAGGAAGCTCTGGAGGAAGCGACCAGGCTAGCCTGTACTGAGACCTTCCCAGCCCGCCTTGGCGATTGGGATAATCTCCACTTTCAGGGTGCCAACCTCAGCCGCCACGAAACTCACATTCACCCTGTGGTGAGATGGGTCCTTTCAGCAGCCCGAAGAGGACGAAGGAAGGGTAAGGGTTGCAGAAGTGACCTTGAGCATTGAACTCCTGAGCAGATTCCGACTGTGGGAGCGTCTAAGGGACCGAGGCTGCAGCAGCTTGTCCCTCACTGCTGAGGATCCTGGAGCAAGACGCTTGTTTGTGTGATAAGCACGCAGTCACGTCGGAACACTCGACTCTGGCTTGAAGTGGCTGAAAGACTTCTGGAGCTGCATGCCCCGGATGCCTCGCCCACTTGTGCATTGTTGAACTGTCAACATGTTTTTAGCTATATCGACTCCTGCATGAGCCTCGGTGTCAAGGCTTGGATTCTGTCTGGCATGAAGTGAAATCGTTTTTCCAGCATCAACAGATTGATGGAGCAAGTGTGCAGCTCGGCCGGAAGAATGTGCCATAACAGGATGCACAGGATTACGTCGAGATTTGTTTATCAATCATGTCTCTCAATCAAGAGGGGAGGAAACCTGCTTTGCACCTGCACGGCGGACTTCAATGAAAGCAGGTGCCTTACCATTAGCTCAAGTTTGAGGGAGCAAGCCAATGTCCTCGCATCAACCTTGTTCTCCACTTGAAGAAGGACCTTGGTGCAGCAGCCAGTGCGCAGCAATCTCATGTAGCAGTCTCATAGCTTGTAGCATGCCTGTCTTGGGATTTTCTGTCATGCAGGTGCAAGTCGCTTCGACCGCTGTCCGGGTAGCCCGACCCCTTCGAGCAGGACTTGGGCCACCCCAATCAGACGCTCCACCTTGCAAGAACTGCGAGGAAGCGAGCCTTTCCACGAGCAGAGACAGTTGGGGGTGACAGCAAGCCTCCCCGAAAGCCCCCTTACCTCGCCAAGCTCGAAGTCTCCACCTCCCAGCCCACGCAGAAGCGCCTCGATCGGGTCCCAGAGAGGGTCTTCCTCGTTGGGCAAATCCTGTACCGCCTGCAAGAAGAGTGATGCTTTCGTTGGTCGGTCGCGACAGGAGCAGGAGTGGGTGGAAGCAGGGTGCTTCGCGGCATGCTTTGACATATGTTGCCGAGGTCTTCATCTGAGTACCATCTCTGACCACTTCTTACGTCAGCTTGTGATGTTTGCATGTGTTTAGGGTTTTGTTTCCTCCTGTCATTGTTTCAACGTCGTAGCCTTGGTTTTTGGATGCGTGCGGTGTCCATCAGTCCTTTGGAGCTTCCAGTCCTCTCTAAGCGGCCCCCGGGTTAGTGTCTCTTGCTGTCCTCGCTCGCCTCCTTAGCTGCAAATCTAGGATCATTACAGTCCATTACCGTTCCCGTTCCGTCCTCCACGAGCTGTTGGCTTAGGTTTTTCGCAGAAGCCCGAGGCTGTGATCGCTTCGGCCATGCCGTCGGTCCACTGTGTTGTGTCGAGATTTGCAATGGCTCTGCCAGCAAATCAATATCCAAGACTGACAGTTCCGGTCTCGTGCTGCTCTTCTCTTCTCTTCATCTGCCAGACTCGCACCTCGACGCCCTCATCCTCGGCGCGCTGGAGCAGCTCCCGCAAGATGAAAACTGCAGCAGCTTCGGATCCCTTGGGGTCTATGTGTATGCAAGTCCCACCTTGACTAATGCCTAGACGAGGGCAACTCTTGACCCTGCTCACCCCTTGCAGATGATCATAGGTAGATCGAGAGAATTGGAAACCTTCTCTTGCAGCGCCAGGCTGCATTGGCCGACGTGCGGTGCAAAAGAGACAGCAACCCCCGTGACAGGCTCCCAAACTGCCTCTGTTCTCGAGAGTTTCAGGATTCCACTCAAAGAGGCGTACACCTTAGTAGGTCACAGGGGGCAGCAGCGGCACTTTGCCAGTGTTGTCTCGATATGGACCATCATTGAGGCAGGTGCCATTTAGCATCACCGCTGCTGTCACGTTCACGGCCCTCGGTTGCAAGACCATCTGGCAACCAGCGTGAGTCACCACATGGCTCTACAGATGCGCACTCGGGTGGCAAAAACTGCTGCAATTTCGGTAAAGGGCGTGCGACCCGGGAAGAGACCGCAAGATTCGTTATTCTGGGCGGTTCACGCTTCAGCTCTAAGGCATCTGTCACCTGTTCTTCGGCCCGCCACCCACTCTTTCCTTCCGCCGTGAGCTCGCAGTGCATCTTCGTCTCGAGGCGGTGTGGCCTCCAGCGTTCCCCAAATGGCCATTACACATCCCAACCAAGGCATTTAGTAATGCCTGCCGACTTGCTGGTAGGGGTGTGTGTGTGTGTGTGTGTGGCTTGAAGTTGGCACACGGCTTCGGGTCTGCGGAGTTCTGACTTTGGGGTCAGCTTTGGCATCAAAACCAACCAGAGTCTCCCGTTCGCCCGTTGCTCAGCAAAACCGCTGCGACTGCAGTTCCGAACTCGAGGTGGTGACTTGGAGCGACCGCTCTGAGATAGGCAGTATGTCTCAGCATGTTGCATGACGAACATGATTAGCTCAGAAGGCCGTCAAAAGCACTGACAGACTTGGACGACTCATGCCCGCACACGCAATCCAGCGAGAGAAGCCAAAGTGTCAGGCTCCAGTGCCCAAACTAGATGCAGACATGCCACCGCTGCAACTCCTGAATGATGAGGTTCGCCTGGCTCTGCATCTTGTGATGGAGCGACTTCGGCTGTCAATCCGAACCGACGAACATGGGCAGTGTGTTTATAGGCATGCTCAACCCCCACCTGAACCTCTCACGGCAAAGCCTTTGCAACACGTGTAGCACAGCAAAGCCTGACACATGTGAAACAAGAAACAGTCGGAAGCAAGTGTATCCCGAACACCGAACCCCAAGCAGATGCCGAAGCACTGCACCCGGAGAGCCCCGTAGCCAACCAGGTTCACCAGCGCACACACCATTTACAGCTATTTTCGTGCCTCCTTCACCAAAGGCATCACCATCATCAGCTGCTCCTGTGCGGCAGGCGCTCTTGCAGGATAAGAGCTAAAAAGCAGCCCCAATCGAGCAGCCTCCAGTCGCTGCATGGCCAACTCGTGCTGGCGGTGGCCTGAAAACTGCTAGAAGCTAGAACCTGTGGTGACAAAAAAACACCGATGACCTCGTCATTACCGGCGCTACAGATCGCTCATGCTTTGCACAGCGCTGCTACGTGCCGCGACCGCCTCCTCGAATACAATCTCAGGCGTCTTTGGGCTGGGAATCGGGCACTAATCGGGAAGTGGGCATGCGTGTGTTCGGAATGCGCTGCTGGGAAGCTGGAAGAGCAAGTGCAGCTAAAAGTAGAAAGCGTTCAGTTCGGTGCGGCGATGTCGAAAACAACGGCGACAACGATGAGTCTGTGGAGTTAGCATCATCATCACCATCATCGTTATACTATGCCACAAGGCCGAACGGACCGATCCGGGCCGCCACCTTCTTCCTCAGCTGCTGCCTTTTTGGCCTTCTTTTCGAGCTCCTGGAAGCAGATTCTGGAAGCTCGTGCAAGGTGAGGGTAAGTAAGTCGTCCGACGCTGTGGCTAGGCATCTGAGCGATAGGAGGTATTGAGCGAAGAGTTGAAGGTTGTTACGTAACGTGAGGCTTCGGACGTGACAGTTCGTTTGTGTGTGGGTATACTCCAAGTAAGTCGTGAACCCGAGCAATTTACCGATGCCGCCGTCGTCAGCACCGGGGCTGCTTCTTGAACTGCAGGCTCCTTCTGTACTAAGGACTAAGGGATAATTCTCGCGCAGTTGGGGGTGGCAGACCCGCAAATGTCTTGCTCTGGTGGCCGTCAGTGCGAGCCTCAATCTTGTGCTGAGCAGCCTCCTCTGCTTTCTTCTGCCGCCTCGCGGTGAAAGCAAAAGCGATGTCGCCAGCTCGCGAACTGAACCTGGGGCCCTGGCTCCTCAAACTCATTCTGCAGCTTCGCAAGTTCCTGAGGTTCTCTGGTAAAGGGCACGCTGGTTGTCTGCAAGAGGCTGGCATGCCATTAGAACTTTGTGGCAACAACTTCTTTAGGCTTTTGCTCACTGCCTCACACAAAAACCGTGGCCCAGGCCTCAGCATGAAGGCGAGCCTCCGTGGGGTCAGAGATGGAAAGGGGGGGGGAAGGGGGGGGGGGAGGGGGCTCGGCTCTTCCCTCGGAGGGAAAACTCACGAAGTGGCGGGGCTCCCCAAAGCCAGCGCCAAGTCAGCCATAAAAAACGATTCGAGGCAAGTGTAAATAGCTTGTCATATTGTCCCACATAGCGAGCTTCTTGAAGAACCACACCATCAACCTCTGCTAAAACGGAATCTCGACACCATCTCGGCGGCCTGCTCCGCTGCTTGGGCCTGTTCGCTGGCCTCTGCAGCCTGCCGTTGCTGCATCTCCTGGCCCGGTCGACGGCGGAATGTCAGACAGCTTGCAAATCAGATGGGTCTGCATTCAATCATCATCGACTCGATGGGGACTCGCTTGAAATAGCTTGAAGTCTAAGTCCTACTAGTAACATCAAGCAAGTAGGGGCCCAGACCAAACTACGCGGTCCGGCATTTTGACGTCAGATTTGAATCTAGAGTGGGTTGGACTCATTTGGGGCTAGGGAACATATGGATTCTTCAGAGAAGAGCACATTGCAGAGAGCATGCCTGCTTTTATTTTGGCTATGTTCCGACGCACAAAGCTTCAGCTTCCTAGACACGCTTCGCTGCTACGGCGCCCACAAAAGGCGCCTCCTCCCACTGCTTCTGCTTCGTCTCCATCTGCGCTCGGAACCTCGGGGGCGGAGGTTCACCAGCCCAGCCCAGTGCTCGACGGAGGGACGGAGGGACGTGGCGCCGTGGCGCCCTCCCTGCTGTCCCTGTCGCTGCCCTCTTTTGCTCGGGCCCGGGCTCAGCTTCCCGCTGCTTCATCAAAGCGTCCGCCTCTGCCTGGACGCTGGACGGGCACCCAGCGGGCAGAGCGGGGCATCTGTGTCCATGTGTCCATGAGTCTTCTCCATCTCTGCGAAGTCGATGATGCTCTTGCGGAGCTAGTGTGGGGTCATCATGTGATAGTTTGCACTGGGCCCGGTGTCCTACTTGAGCGGGATGCAGCATGTGTCCCACTAAAGGCAGATGAAGAAAGTGGAATCTGTGAGAGGCCGGAACGATCTCGACCATTCAGGACAAGGGCAATGTACTGTTGGTGGCAACGTGCAACGAGGTCCAGTGAGGAACTCCGCTCAGCCTTCTAGTGGTCTAACATCTTAGCTGGAAGTTCGCCTTTTTTTTCACCTCTTTGGGGGTCGAGACTGGCTTGAGCTTGCAGGATGACTCGGCCGCTGTTGAAAACTGCGACTGCTTCTCTCCGCCCCTTCCAGCGGAGGTCTTGTTAAAGGCTTGATCACTCCATCTAGCCAGATTCCCTCCTACCAGAAGTGCCATGCACAGCCGAACCCGATCCGGAGCTCTGCGTACAAAAGGGCCGCTTCCCGCTCCCTGTCGCACCTTGGCCTTCTCCTTGGCCTCTTCTGCCTCTCGGGCCTTGCGCTCCAGCTCCTCCGCGAGCTGTCGAGAGGCCTCGAAGCTCCGAAAATGCAGCCTCAAGCGCTGTCTTCACATCACTCTGGCGCCTTCAGCTCCTCCTCTGTTGGCCCTGTGACCTCGCCCTGCTGCAGCTCCTTCCCGCAGCGATTCGATGGCCAGCAGAGGCGGAGGAGATGAAAGACGTGTACAAAAAAGAAAGAGAGGGAAAGATCTTCTCCTTGCGTGCAGCGGCATAGCTCACTTGCCCGGAGTTGATGAGCTCCGTGACCTTGCCCTGGCCAAGGTATTCTGCAGGGTGAGACTTGGGGACGCTTTTTATTGCATCTCGTTTGAACATGTTGCGATGGGCGAGGCTTGACACACCTTCCCAGAGACAACTTGCGACTTCTATACTTCGTCTTACCGTGCTCGTAGGCTGAATATCACGATTACGGGTAAGCCTCTTGCCAGTAGTATGTTGATCAGCCCTGGCATTTCAAGTGATTGTGCCGGCAACTGCTGCCGTCACTTCCTTTGCATGCAAATATATGAACCACAGTTGACACGATGCACATGTCACTGCACTATTCCTTTCTGTGATGATTACGACGATCACTATTCTTATCATTTTGGGTCCAACTCTTACAAACTTTTGAACTGACTTGTAACGAAACACTGCGAGATTGAACATCCCTGTGAGTATTGCGTTGGTCATGCTTGTTTTGCTTGCCACGCTTCCTGCTTGCTAGTTTTCCTGATCTCCGGCTTTTGCCCCCTCCCCCCTACCGGCACATACATTAAGACCTGCCAACCCGCAATCATGACATGAACTCAGCATACTACTGGAAACACCGAGTCCCTACGACTACTGCTAGCTCGGGCAAGAAGACGTGGCTTTGTCAAAAAGGGGCACGCTTGCTGTCCTGCTGTAGTTGAGATCTTGTGGCAGGACCATTAGAAGTAGTACCATGACCAAGGAAATTTGCTAAATGATGATACTCGGAATTGTCTTTCCTGGTGCCACCGTGGCTGTGACTCTGACTGTTGATGCGATGGCGATGTTGTAATTGGTAATGGCGACGACTATGATGATATTGAGCGTGCCATCATCACATTGATTTGGTAAGTGTAGTAGCCAAAGCAGAGCAGGTACGAGCAGCAGCAGCAGCTGCAACGGAAATGCGATGAGAAAGCCAGCCACAAGTCAACTGTCTTCAAAAATGATAAGCAACTGCCGGAAATGGCTTATGTAGAGTAGGCAGCGTGGGAGTCATGATGGTCATAGAATGTTTGCAACAGTTGGGCCCAGAGAAATGTAGGCAGAAAAGAGCAGGAAGCGCCTTGCTCGGCTCTACGAAGACAAAGATGCACCTCGGCTTGTGGGGTTTGGAGTTTGGACAGGCTAGACTTTACAAGCCGTAAACTCCTCGCTTCCTGCTGGCGAGGAGCTGTCCAAAGGCCACGCGATCGCCGTGCGAGAGGGAAACTGGGCACTGCAATGTGTCGGACGCGACTAGTAGGAGGCTGGAAATTTCGGTTTCAGCTCCGGCTCGGACGGCGACCTGGTACGCCGGGCTGCAGCGCCGTGCCGTTCACAAAGCTGGTGCCGGCAGCCTCAGAGGCGCAAAGCTCGGCAGCAGCGCCGGGCAGCAGCGGTGGCGTGAAGCGAAGAGACACGCGCGGAAAAAAAGCACAGACACCGTCTCCGCCGGATCCCCGTTGGCGCGACGCCTCGGGGTCCGTCGCTGTCAGCGTCACCGCGCCGGCCTTGTTCTCGACGAGGGCGTGCTCCTCCAAACGAAACAAAGGGGCGCACGGTCTTCTTCAACAAAGAAAGCACACGCAGCGAGCAGCGGTTACAACCCCGTCCCCCCACCTGGTGGATGCCAGGTACTTGCAGTGCAACTTCTGGCCTTGCTGCGATGCTCGTGGCAGAATCTCTGACCCAGATTTTTTTCATCAAAGTGGGCCCAAGCAGAGTTCTCTTGGTCGCCGGCTGATTGGCGTCGCCATCCTCCTGGCTTCCGCGGCCAACGCGAGTGATGCCCTCCTGTGAGAAGCAAAGAGCTATTCGCCTGCTCAATTTGCGAGAAACAAGAGAGCCTTGAAGGCAAACTTCAGCTTCGCCGTGAGGAGGAGGTCCTGCCAGAAGTGGAGTCCACTTCAAAGGCGGGAAAGGCTCAAATTGGGAAGCAAAACCCAAAGCGTTGGTGCATGCCGAAAGCCCTGCCACGTGTGAGGCTTTCATCCGTTCCTCGTTGAGGTTGGCGATGTGCGGAAGCTTCGTGTCGGAAGATTTCTCTTTCTTGGCACCAGCCTGGCTCTCTGTAGCTGTTTTGGTGGCTCTGGCAGATTCCAGCGGTCTCCTGTAGTTCCTGTGAAAAAAGCTACAGCAACCACCACTTGGGCTTTTCAGCTCAGGCGAAGGAACCATTAGGTTGAGGAGAGGCGGGAATGAAGATATGCAGCGTGTAGGGTTATGCTTCACACCCTGCCGCGGGCCTTTTGTGCTTCCGACAGTCGCTCCGCGAAGCTCTTTTGCATCTCCATCAATGCCTTTCTGTGGCACATTCGGGTGAATCTTGGGGCTTGCTCTTTGTTCTGAATGTCTGATGTTCGTGGTGGCGCCATGGGTTGGGACCAAGCTTGCAGACGTAGGAGTACGGGAGTTAAGGCTGGCAGGGATGGAACATCCTGGGATCGTGGTTTGGAGGCTGAGGCACTGAGTCTGTTAGTGAGCACCGCGCCGCAGCATTTTCTTGCTTCATAGGCAACGAACGCCACCCTCTTGGGTGATTTATGCGTTGAGGGTGGATGCTCTAGACGCAGACGGAAGCCATGCCTGCTCTAGTGCCGCGATCTCGGCCTGCTTGTGGAACATATCCTGGCATTCGTGGTGTGTAGCAGAGTTAGAAACCCAAACTCTGCACTTTCCTCACCGTGGGTACATCACAGAACACTGGTTTGTCAATCTGTCTGACAGGGTCTGAGTTGTCACCCTGTGATCCGGTCCAGGTGCTAGTTGTCTACCCGATCTCATGTCGCAGATGCTCCCACATGCAAATCGCGGCCTACAACCTCAGCTCAGCGGGGAGAGCTCCAATCCAAACTGTGGGCTCAAGCCAACGTGCTGGGCCTCGCTCTCGCCTTCCTTTGGAGACCTGGCTGGCAACTGCAGTTCAACACCGTCAACAAGTACAGTGCAATCACTGTACAAGAAACGATTGGCTTACAAATGTAGCAGATACATCAGCCGGTTAGCACCAAAAAACCGAAATGTTAACATGCCTTCTAGCCAAGAAATCAAGGGCACCCAACGTTTTGGGATCATTTCTTATTTCGGGTGGTTTCCAGGTCCTAACCCTAGGGCACGGAAGGAGCCCACATAAGGAATGTAGAGAGCTGCGTTTCTTATTTTGGGTGTTTTCCCAGCCCTAAGCCTAGGGCAGACGGCAGGAGCCAAAATGTGAAATGTGGAGGGCTTGGCGTAGCTCCGCAACTATCTAGCGTCAGCTGGCGTGCCATGAATTTCTGGCAGTTGCATTTAGACACCAAAGATTAAAGTGTACTACAATGGTTAAGGCCCTTGGCTCAGTTGACGGACTTACATGGGCTCGAGCCCATGCTAAGAAATGGCTAAGAAATGAAGGGTGCCCAACGATCCTCAGCGAGGAGACGACCCTACAATGGACTGAAGATATGAGAACCAGGAGGTGCTGCCCGCTGCCAACCATATTCCGCAGCTTCTCGTTCTCCTCTCGCAACTGTCGGATGAGCTTGTCCTGACAAAGCGCTGCTTAGCCTGCTATCGGGCTCTCAATTGGATGGAACGTGGGAGGCTGGTCCCCTTCTTGCAATGCTTGCAGCAGGGCACTGGAACATCGAACCACGCTTTTCAGCACTCTCTGGCCTGAGGGTTCTCGTTGATGCTCGCTGTGTTCTTGATGCGCTTGGCACCTGAACGGACACGTCTGCGACGGATGCAGTAGACTCATATCAGACTTGGGTCGGAGCTTCATACAAAAAACATCGTCGTGCCTACACAGCACGTGCACTCGGGCCGCAGCGGTCGGCATAGCGCAAAGTGGACAGCGTCTCTTCGTAGTTGGACCTTTGCATTTGCCCAGTCCAGATCGAAGGAGAAGGGAGGCACATGGCCACAACGAGCAGAGCACAAAACACAATCCAACAGATCGCAAACACAATCCATCCTGATCCCAGCTTGCTCTGTTCTAATTCAACCTGCGGAGATCCCAAGGAGCAAACGATGCCGGCGAGATCGCACCTCGGAACATCGGGGTGCGATCGAGACTTGCAGCCTGAAGGGCTCTTGGAGCTACAAAACAACTTCCGAGGAGCCGTACATACATCCGCACGACATGCAATGGCTCGTCCGTTGGGAGAAGTGATGCAGTATGGCATGAAAGGTGGTGCATACTTCTTTCTATCCGATCCAAGACGCTGTTCTGAACTTGAAAATGCTGCGAGGCATGTGGTCGTCGAAATTTGCGACAGTATTAGTTGTGACTTGTTCTTGACTTTAAATGTTGGCTAATTTCTTGACCATGTATGCTGCCCCCCCCCCCACCCCCACCCGTTTTCCGAGGCGAGTGCAGATCATGACGGTCTTGCTTGAACCGCCTGAGGTGCGCAATGCAGAGACAGATTCGAAACGCCAGCGTCTGCAAGTAGTCCGAGGTTGAGGCCCAAGGCGTTCTGCAGCAACCTCGTCAGCTTCGAGTCACGGTACGGGACGACTGCCTCAGAGACCCGTGCAGCAGACCAGGTTACTCTCGTTAATCAGAAATCCAGCAAACGGAAGCCAAGGCACATTGGCCTTCGCCTTGCCCATGGCCTGGATGCTTCAGGGCTTCAGTCTATACTGACGTCTCTTGGAAGCTCCGAGGAAGCGGACAAGAATCGAGTTCTTGAAGCTACAGCTCCGAAGCTCTCGCACTCGCGGTCCTTGTCCGCCAACTTCTCGATCACATTGCCGAGGGCCGACCTTCTGCCGCTTTCGGACCAAGAAGTAGAAACCTAGAAACCTTCGGAACGGCTTTCCGTATCTGAAGCAGGAACGCCCTACATAGGGTTTGATGTGGCATCTGCCTTTCGTCTCTTCACCGTGATCAGATCTTTGCATGATGTTCAACAGCGAGACCCAGAAGCCCTCTAGAGCAGCCAGAGACGCACGTAAGCCAAGCGGCAGTGATTTGTTGATGGCGCAGCCTTCCTTTAGGCGATCTCCGCTGGCGCCCGTCTGCCCGGCCTGGCATGGGAACCCGCGGAGCGTCTCTGAAGACCCCCTGCACTTCATACCCGGGCCAAAAAGACTGAGGCTGCTCTGCACTTCCAACAGATGTTCCCAGATTCACGCACACACACAAAGATTCATTCTTCAGCGCGCAGCGGGGCTAGCGGAAGCTTGTGATGCTAGGCCCTCTGTTGGCAATCTTGAGATTCAGCGGCTTTCCGGGGTGGCCTTTTCGCTGCCAGCCAAGTCCACCAGATTGATCAAGGACAGCTTCTGGCCTTGCTGGCCGGCAGCCTCCGCGCCAAAAAAAGGCATGTTTCAGCTGCCGCCTTCTCCGCTTGCCCCATGGCTACTCGTTCTGCACAACTCTGCATCCTCACTCAGAAGAAACAGCGACACCTCAGAAAGTTATGATGTGCTAGCACGAACTCTGTGGGCTGAAAATGGATTGGGCTTGACCGGCAGCCTGTGAAACTTGCTTGAATTCAATGGTGAGCACCGTGTGAGCCTCAGTGAAGCACAAACAAGTCATGTTCCAGGCGCATGGCAGCATTCATGGTGAGTTGCTTTCTGTCGGGGTAGTTCCATGGTTTCTGGCACAAGCGGTGCTTGCAACATAGCCAATCTCTGCACAGCTCTGGTCTGCTGACTGGAACAACTCATGCAACAGGTGCAAAGTCTGTAGCTCCAAGATCGTGCACCAAACATATGATTTTGAGATTTACCTTCTGGACTCCGTGCATCTAAACGTTAAACATGTATGCATTTCTAGTTCTTGCTGTCTCTGTCCTGTGACTCTCTCACACATCATACATATACATACACACATATACACATACACACAGACACATACACACTTACACACATACATAACTACCTACCTACCTACCTACCTACCTACCTACCTACCTAAATACATACATACAGACATGACATACATACATGAATACATACATACATACATACATACATACATGACATAATGACATACATACATACATACATACATACATACATGACATAATGACATACATAGATACATACATACATACATACATACATGACATAATGACATACATACATTCATACATACATAGATACATACATACATACATACATACGGAATCCGCTCAGGATTCAAAGCATCGTGCCCCAACACAGACCATCTGTTGAGAGGTGCGAGTAAATTGCTTCTGGCATCTAGAGACTTCAGAGCCTTGTAGGGACTAGACCGGGGCGCCGTGTTTAGCAAGGTCAATGCACCTCTTCGAAAAGCTGCCCATCAAAGCCCTGGATGCTGTATGAGGCTCGTACCCTGCTGGATGTGGCATTCATCCTCGGCACGTGTGTCACGCAAGCACACAATGCTAGACTACAGTCCGGGATCTTACCATCATCGACAACTTTTTCCGGATCCAGTACGATTGAGGCAGACGGCGAGGCCTGCCGAGAGTCCGCGCTCATCCCGTAATGTGCTCTGAGACACACGCACACAGACAAAGCACACACAAGGCCCCTCTAGGAGCAAAACACGTCCACGTCGAGACGACGGGATATGGGTTTTGCGCGTGCGCAAGAACACGATGTGGGGCGATGCACTGAAAAAGCACGGAAAAAGCGTTACGGGGGCAGCACTGCACTGGGCCTATGAGGCCGGCGCAGGGTGGAACCCACGGTCCGGTTCTCCGTGCCCTCCTCCACCACAGCCTCCCATAGACATGAAAACAAAAAGAGAATCGCTCGTTACCGAAACGTTACAAGGCATCACAGAGATACCGGCCAGATTGTAATTTCACCGTTCAAACCGCAGGGGCAGACGACAAAGCAATATCCGCTTCGAGATGCCGAGTTGCCCGTCTAATCAGAACGTGCCCTGTCTTATATCTGAAGAGATGTAGGCTAAACATCGCCACAAACTGGATTGGCTCGACATGGCTCGACATCCCCTGGATGATGAGGGTGGAATTTAGCAAGTTGTCGTAGATAATCATTTTCCCCGGATCTGGTCTGGAAGATCGTCTGGCATAGCGGTGTCTTCGGCTCGAGACAATGGCAAGGGCAACGGCCTCGATAGAGGAGTACGAGTCCACGGCTCTTCTGGAGATGCCCGCGATGAAGATGCCCAACCTCACGGTGAGGGTAGTTCTCCAAATTACGGTCCCCTGGAAGGTCCCGCAAATGCTACGGCACTCTTGTAGAAAGGACCCTAAGAAGGACCCTAATCTAGAGAACCAGCCATGAGTTTTCCATTGGAGTCCACTCGGCAACACATCGTGGACGCTTGCCATGCGCTTGACCTGTGTCTAAGCACATCAGAACTGCCAAGTACTCGGACTGCCTTCGAGGCTCCAACACCGACATCATTTTGCAAGATGCCTACTGCAGCACGCGTCGCAAAAAAACACCCCTGATGTTTGCCGAGCTTTGCCGAGGGCGGCGCTGCTCTGACTCACGAATCTCCAAGCCTGCGAGAGCAGCAGCATCAACGTCTTCAGAGAGGTCTCTAAGGCGCACCCTGGGTGGCGGTTGAATTCGGACCGCCTTTCTTGGGGCGCTCCCTGGGTGGCACCAGGAGGTCCTCCGTGCCAGTTCCGGAAACCCTCAACTCGCGCCACTTTGCACTGATACACTGATACACAGGAATCTCTTCTGTCGAAGTCTAAGCCACAGCAACATCGCCCTGTCTCCTGCACTTGCTCATTGTAGATTTCGACCATCGACCTGGGGGTGTCCGTAGGATTCACAGCTCTTCCAACTCGGCAAGACTGAACCGGAACGGCAGCTAGAAGGCCCTGTGCACGCGAGCTGAGATTCCTGCACCATTACCTCGTAGGTCAGATTCGCATCTGTGTTGGCCTCAGGCTTGTTGTTCAGAAGCCTGCTCTCAACGAGACTTTCCCTCCTCAGCTCCTGGTGCAGTGGCAGAACTCAGTATCCAGAGCCCCACATCTACAGTTTTTGCCATTCTGTTTGAAACCACCCAACACCTTGGGACGTGCTTACCCTGCAGCTGCAGAGATGAAGTTCTCAGGATTGAGCCAGCGCCTGCCGAATCTAGAGTTCTAGAGCTCGTGCCGGGCTTCAGGAGGGAGGGCTCCAGAAGCTGATGGATTCTGGGTGGCAGGCGCCGATTCTCTTGAAAATCTCTTCGCACGAGATGGGCACGATGCCCTGCGCGATGGAGCCACATGGTGAGTGTGAGAAGCAGACCCCAATCGCAGACCTCGGTACTGCACGTCCGGGCTTCAGTCCCCGTGCATCTTGGATTTTGGTCCTGGTCCCAACATGTCCCAACCTTGTTGGCACCGTAGCCCACCATGGAGTAGCTCTTGCCAGCTCCCGTCTGACCTGCCGGCTTCAAGTCCAGCCTATTTACTACTTTGCTAGAAAGATGCATCCCCTGTCGGAGCTTCCCCGTCGCAGTCTGGGGCAGCGGCCATAGGCAAACAAGCAGCAGTGGTACCCTTCCCACGCCTAAGCTTCGGCAGGGCAGCGCGCTTTGAATGCTTGCCGTTGGTCTATGCCCTATGCGGGTCCAGCCAAGCAAAAACATCCGCGACTCCAACTAGGCGAGTTATTGCCCGAATTTAGGGTCGCCTACACGTGCAGATGGATGCTTGTAGAAAAGCCAATCATCCTTTACAAATACCTCGGAACTCCGGATAATTCCCATTGGCCGGGCTGCGCTGTCCAGAATGCGTCGACCAAACGTGTCGAAAACAAGCTGCTGATCAGCATACCTCGAAGGATGGCTGCTGTAGCAAAACAAGGCTTAAGCATGACACGAGGCTGGCCCGATATTTTGGTGAAGGTGTTGATGGCAAACAGCGGACTTGTCGGTTCAGCCGGGACTTGTCAGGCGAATTCTCTCAAAGATCCACTCAAGCCACTTCTCCTCTGGGACTCCGAACCGGCTTCCGGGCCCTGGGTAGCAGTAGCCCTTAGCATCCACCTCGAAGCCATCGTGACCTCAGCGAAGCATGGCACATCATCGAGCCTAGGCGCCAACAAGCAGGACCCCCCCCCTTCCCTTCCCCCTTGTGACGTGGCAGCAAAGGCATCGACTCCAGAAGGAAGCATCGAACGTGAACTTCTTTGGCTCCTGCGACCAGAATGCAGGCTATGCAGGCTCATGTCTCACAGAGCCCAGGGAAAAAGAAGGAAACCATTGGAGATCTTTGGCGACGTCTTGATCACGGGAAGCCGCGTCCCTGATCCCTCCGGAGTGGTGTCAGACCTACCTGGCTTGCTGAACAGTCTGCCTTGTTCTTCCCGGCTTCTGCTACCTCTGGCGGAACCTGCCTGGGCTTCAAGGTCTTGCAAGAAGGCTGCATTTGAGGGCCTTAAGGTCCTAGTGTCCTGGGGAGACTGAAAGGCAGACCACTCATTCATAGCTGCACGTCACTAGCTACCGGCTGGTTCACGAACGCGACAGGCCATCAACAAAAGCAAGACTTTGTAGCTGGCTTGCACCGCTTCGGGGTCGTGAATCAAGCTCAAGAGCCTTCTTAAACGCAGTCTCAGAACTTGCGACTTGCAACCCAGCCGCAAGATTGTAGTCGGGCCATCCACTTCGACGCAGAGCTGAGCAGAAGGGAAAGATCAGTTGGATGCAGCGACGAGGAAAAGTGCACGATGATTCTTACTTGAGTTCGCTTCAACGTACCATCGAGCGATTTTGAGCTGAGCTGAATAGAGCTCTTCTCACTGCCTGCCTGGCCTGCGCATTCAATGCACGCTCTCGATCGTTGAAGGGTCTGATCCGAACCCCAACTGCCACTGAGCACTCCTGCCAGCCACCGGACCGCACGTCCAAACGAACGTACTGGCAAATGTCTTTTTGGACGTGTCTTACAGCAGTCCTCTGCCATGTCGGCGCTGCGGCTATCCGTCTAGTCGGCAGTTGCAACCACACGAATCCTGAGTCCGCATCGTCCCAAACTGAAGCCCTCGCAAGAAGAAGTTCCTCTGGCCCTTAAGAGACAGGGGGAGACTGCATGATGCAGCCCGGCAGCCGAAGCGTATTTCGCCTCCTCATCGCCAGTGCATCACCTCACATGCGATTGGGGAATGCGATGTAGGAATTATAGTGCGCGACCCGACACCGCAATCTTCCCCTTTGCAGAGATGCAAGCAAGGCCCTCAGGTCTTTACGGTGCCTTGGGACAACATAGAGGCTCTCAACATGTTTGTTGGTGTGTAGGGCTTGGGACCGGGGTCCGAAATGTATGAAATCATGATTTCGAGCCGTTGCCACAATTCGCGAGGCCCCGTTATCAAGAAAGGCATCTGCTCGCTGGGAATCGCGGCCGAGGTTTTTTCTAGTACGATAGTCCTTACAGCAAGCTTGCACGGCTTAAGAAAGGGCTTGTATGACGGGTTCTGAAAGTGCTCATATGGGGCTTGGGAGCGCGCAGCCCCCGCCATTTGCGAACAAAACGCCTGCATCATAAGTTCTAAAAGGCTCACATGGGTTCTCAAGGCTCGTATGGCCTTCAAGCTGGCCCTGGCACGGCTTTAAAAAATGGGAGCCGCATTTGCAAACACAATGCCCGCACGATGAGTCCTAAAAACGCCTGCATCATGGGGTTTCTCAACGCTCGTGTCGGTTCTGATGGCACGATATTCCGCAAAGCTTGCACTTGCACGGCTTAAAAAAGCGGCGGGGTCGGAGCGCAGCCCCCCCCCCCCCCATTTGCAAACACACTTAAAACATTATGCTCGGAAAGGCACATCAAAAACAAATGAAAGGATCAACAACAAATTACCTCTCTGAGACAGCGAAGACATACGGCTTCTCCTTCTTCTTTTGTCGGAACTCAGAGGCGTTTCCTTTGTTCGTTACAAGATGCTTTCGTTCAATATTGCTTTGCGAAGACGTACGGCTTCTCCTTGTTGTTGCTTGTAGGAGGTTTGAAGGGAGTTTCAGTTGAAGGCACTCACTTGTTTGGACGCTTAGCAATGTCTCTCTCGTAGCAATGATACAAATTGTGCAATAGTCGTAATCGTGATGATAATCGAAGCGGCAGCAGTAGCTGTAAGAACATCAGTAGTAATCTAGTGATAATCGTACTAGTTGTAACAGTAGTGATGATAGTAATGACAGCGATGATACAAACTACAGTAATCATAGCAACAATAGTAATGATAACGTAATAGCAATGATCATACGTTGAAACAACAGAAATACTATTGATGAGAGGAATAATGAGTTATAGGTATGGAATGTACAATAGCGAAGGAAGCTACGAAGCCAAGAAGACGCGAAGCCAACAACCCAGGACGCTATGAAGCCACAAGGCCAAGAAGCCAGTAAGCCAACGGACCATAGCGCCACGAAAGCATGTATCCACGAAGTCAAGAAGCCAAAAAGCCAGGAAGGAGCAGTCCGGAGCAAGCAACAAAGCGCTCGTTTGTTTTTTATTCTTCGCAAGTTTTGTGTGATCCTTCGCTCACTTTTTATGGGGGGATGGCAGCGTGCAGGCGCCAGGGTTCGGGGCAGGGTCGGTGTCGCTTACGGGAGAAAGGATGAGAAGCCCAGATCCGCGCTGCCTCAACAACTACCAGAAAACTGGGGCAAGCTCGCCACTCGCGGCCAGAGGCTGAACATGCCTGAGGAGCCGCAGAAGCCCATGCGGGGATCAGAAAATCCTTTCCATGCCTCTTACGGGTTATTTTTTGAGCCCGTGGAGGGCGCCTTTCGACCCCGGGCCAAGCACGGGGACGGGAGCATCGCAGACCTTGCATGCGCACCGGGAGCAAAAAGGCCCCGCGGACCGGGTCACGAACCTGCGAGGTGGATTTCACAACCGCCGAAAATGTTTGCAGCGTTTTTCCGGACCTTCCCTCGACCTGCGGGGGTCGCTTTCGAACCCGCCAAAAAATGCTTGCAGCTGGGTTCGTTTCGGGCTCCTCATGCCTGCACAAGGCCTGCAGACCCCCCCCAATACGAACCTCGGGCGGCTCGGTCTACGTGGAGGTTAAAAAGGCCTCCATCTCGACATGCCACTCCTGATGTGCACACTACCCTAGACTGCCAGAGAAACCCTCCGTCCGGACGGGGTGAGGGCATAACAAAAACCCTTACCTGGGTTCATACAACGGGAAGCAGCACCGAGCCTCAAGCATTGCGGATGCCGCCCGCTTAATTGCAAATGAGCCAAAGCAGCGGGACCAAGGTTCGACATCCGGTGAAGCTTGCCGTGCAAGGCTTCCAGGACGGCGCGACCAGAAAGGACAGTTCACTCGACGAAAGCAGCTCCGACCAGCGACAAGTGCAGCATCCGACTTGCTGAGGCATTTGAAGCCGATCTTAGACACAACAGAAAAATATGCGATTTGAGCCTTTTGACATCTGTCATGCCATCGAACGGTCTGGCGAGTCGTCGTCTCTCCGTGGCAGATGTGCTGCTAACCTGAGCCGTTACCGATGGAACGCAGTCGCACTAGGCACGTCCCCAGTTTCCACAAGCACCAAAAGCACGAACTAAGTGCTCCTTCGACCGGATACCGAAGTCCTTCTCCATATCGTGAGAGCTGCGACCCTGTCCAGAGCCGGCCCCGTGAGATCCAGGCGCATTGTCTGAGCTCATAGGCCGCACCTGCGAACCCAAAGTGTCGAGTCTCCAATGCCCGAGCCCAGGTAGATTCATAAGCAAGTACAAAAATGCACATACATACATACATACATACATACATACATACATACATACACACATACATACACGTACGTACGTATGTACACATACATACACACACACACACACTCACTCACTCTTACACGTACATGCATGCACCCAAACAGCTTTCTTAGAACGCCGGTGCGCTGGTAATCGCGTATTCATGCATGGCCTGTCAGTGTACCCGTGCCGGCAGTTCTCCTTCCAACAAAGAGCAATGGATCACCTAGATTTTCTACACCGTGGCTGTGGCCTTTTGCCCTTCTTTTGCCCTGGCCTCGCCGAGGCTCCGGTTCATCTGGTTCAGCTGCGTTCGGGCCTCATTTTGGGGCCATCGCTGTCTTCTGTGCTTTGAATCCATGCAAGGGTCTGGAGGGGGGGGAGAACTTGGAGGTGATCGGTTTCTAAAAGCAGTGAGCTGAAACTTTGCTTGGCTGGGCAAACAGCGAATGAAGATTTCGGCAGCTGGTGCCGAGGAACTTGAAGCTGGCACTGTGCTTGTCGTTTGGTTGCCCGACGGCGGAACTGCACAAGCACCAGTCTGGAAGGAAGAATGCCACGGAAGCAGTTAAGTACCCTCCTGCACCCAGCTCCCGTTCGTTCAGGATTCTAGCAAACACAAAATTGGCCATGCAGCCCCAGGTGCCGAAAGCCCACTGCAAACTGTGGCAACTGAACGAATGCCGCTGGTGCCCTCGACGGTGCCCTTCTCCTGACAGAGAGGTGGCGTTCTCCAGAGTTGCGGCTCACTGCTGGACCAACTGAGAAGCCGCGCCTACTGAACTCAACTGCAAGACCACTCGCTCGCGGCTTCCCAGCAGATGTACTTTGGAGGAGCCCAGCCTTCTCAATCCGATCCACCGTTATGTTGTAAAGCTCCCGCAGCTCGGGGTCCATGACCAAACTGCACAACATGTGCAACAAAGCAATACTATGCAAGACTGCAGAGTTTGGAATATGTGCAGGCGAGATCTGCTTGATGGCATGAGCTCCTACTGCGCTAGCTGACATCCCGGTAGCATGTCATCCTGCGCTGACCCCTCCGCTACGTTCACTGCGACGGGAAACCAGCATGAGACTCAACAGTGCATCAAGTTCGGAAGACTCTTCGTTCCAGTCGCGCCTGAGCTGATTCAGGAGGCACTGTGACGAGTAGTGCTTTCCGGCCTCGGTGACCCCGAACCCAGAGAATGAACTGTTTGCCCAGCCTCACGGTTCGTAGTTTTTGAGGGCTCAAGACTGTGCAAAGCAACACCTGTAGGATCTAAGTAGCTGTGTGGACAGAGAGAAGCTACTTTCGGATGTGTCCATGCAATGAAAATTGTACGAGTGGTACCCACGGAGTGTCAAGAAACGGGAAATGCATGTTGCACTGCAAAGGTGACTACTGCATGTGGAATGCACAGTGTCTCAACTGGAGGACAGCAAGTGCGTGCACGGATGCAGACATTTATCTCACGAAAGAAGCTGCGACTGGCCGTTGCTTGCAAGGAGAAGGCCTAGTCTTCCAGGGCCCGTGCATACATCGACAGCGGCAGGGCAGACGACTGCACGTGATGCAGGGGAGCTTTCACTTCCGCTTCTTCTGTCTCAGCCTCGCAGGGAGGTGCGGTTGACAGCTCAGGTAGCGGCGGGGTCACATGAAGCTTGATTAAACACAGAAATAGATCAGAACCTTGCGAGGTCAGGATGAGGAATCGGAACCCAAGCTGATTCAGGCAAACCTAGTGTCACGAGGAGTACAGCCCTGTACTGCCCATACCTCTGCGTCAACCACGCGAACACGGGTCGTTGGGAATGATGGGTGTCGGGCAGTCCGAGCAGGCCTTTGCCAGAACTGCACGATTGCGGGAACCCAGGCACCTTGACTTTGGGCGTCATCAGCGGCTTTAGCTCCTCGGACCTCATTGCCACTTTTCGTCAAGCATTCGGGCGATTAGGAGGACATACAGTACTACGGCGTGGCCGGTGGGTTGTGCCAGGATTTTCTTAACGGAAATGCTTGCGTAGCGTCCAGATGTGTTTGTTTCCCTTTTGACTGTAGGAGGGTGCGAGCAGGATACCCGTGCTGATGCTTGCAGTTCATTCAAAAGAGTGCTTAAGCAACGCTCGACACCCGTGGCCAAAAACACTACTGCCAAATCCAAGCAGAGTGCGACCTGCGTCGCTGATGGTGCAGACTCTACTGTCACATTCTTAGCGTGTATGCCGGCCCGCCACCCAGCTCGGCTGTCATCCAACTACGGGGAGCTTAGGCTCAACGGCCGGGCTCTGCAAGGGACCGACTCGGCCAAGGATTTTTGAAACATGGCTTTCCGCTTTGATGACTACTGAGGCACTGGCATATCCTGCTTGCTGACCTTGCATGCTGCACTGCCACAGACAGCTCTTCGGAGGCTTCGGTGTCTAGTGTACAAGCTGTGGCAGGTGATCCAGAAAACTATACAGCCCTTGTGAAGGTAGCTTCTTGGATTGTCGGCGCTCAATCACGCCACTACGGTCTCGGGGTGCCGAAGGCCAAGGCCACACCAAGCCCAAAAGCACCCTGTCGGGGCCAGGGCAGAAGGGGGCAAGGAGATGTAGAAGACGGCCATGGCGAAGGCAAAGAGCGCTGCCACAGTGTAAGGCAGCGGCCTCGAAAAAACATGACCGCCAAAGCCACAAGATGGTTGCGATGTTGATGGTCCAAGTGCTACTACTGCGATTGCTACGACGACGGCTCCGACTTCTGCGACTGTGACAAACACTACGACGATTACGACCACTACTTCTTCTGCTACAGCTACTGCTCATGCTGCGACAGCACAACAAACAGCACCGCCATGACAACTGCAGCCCCCGTTACCCCTAGACGAGAGAACGGCGACGACGTGCTGCTGGCAGGCATTGAAGAGCATGTGTAAGGAGAAACATACCTCCAGAGATCCCCCGGACATGTTGCACCTGCCGATGTAGTACAGCATCCCGCCAACCTCAGGCACCGAACTTACGCAAGTGAGAGCTTGGCCTTTACTAAACTCACTTGAGGCTTTGGGCGGGAAGTTCTTGCGGCCAAAAACCAAAGCCATAGTACAACGCAGAACTTTTTGTGGCAACAGGCGGCAAGAGGGGAGGCTAGATCGGGCCACCGAAGCTGAATACATCGAGCAATGCGATGTGCGATGGGTCATGAACTCAAAACTGCAAAGCTATCGTGGGAGAACGAAAGAAAACGCCTGCCTCCAAACAAAAAAAAAGCGAGAAAGACCGCATGAGGGGAAAGAGACAATGTTTGAAGCCAGGCAGCGGCTGGCGCAGCCGTGCCTGCCATGCCGTCCAAGGCGTTTTTGAGACCTTTGGCGCTTAAAGCTCTTAGCATTTCCGGGAGTTGAAAGCGCCTTTGCAGTTCGCCTGGGCCCGCAAAATCCTCTGAATTGCGTAGCTGCCCAGTCGCACAGCACCCTTCCATTCCCACGGACGCGGCATGGCAGGACTCCCGTTTCCGAGGCGAAGGCCCAGCATTGTTCCCAGAAGATGTCGCGGGCAGTTTTGGCTCACGAGACCTGAGCAGTGGGACCAGGAGGCACCGACAAGCCGGGGTCATAATTACACTGGTAGAGTTTTGTCGAGGACAGCTTGAAGGCTTGAAGCATTGCAAGATAAGCTTCAATACACAGGCTCGAAGAACTCCCTTCAATTGACAGGCAAACGATTGTGTGTGTGTAGTACTAGCGGCAATCCAAAGGTTCCACAACCGTTCAGTGTCATTACTGGCAGTCCTTCTTCTTTCAGTCAGTAGTCTGCTTCAAGGGTCGCCACATACAAACTTCTCCAACATGCTCAGGCACTCGACAGTTGCACCTTTTTGCTCCGGCTGCAGCTGCGTGCGATGTGAAGGAATCTACCTCTTCTTGCCTTGACTCTCGGAACCCGTAGCCTAGTGCCTGTAAACCCTCCGAAGCCAAGACCCAGCATGAACCAGCGCTCACACAGGCCCAGGAGTTCCCTGGCGCCGGTGCTCAGGCGCAACTCAGCCTCGGAAGCCTGTTCAAGACGTGTCACAGACGGGGACACCTAAGCACCGCAAGACGTGATTTTCGGCATAAGCCCAAGACCCCTCAAGAGCGTGAGCGACTAGAAACTCGATTCGGGCTCTACCCATACTCTGCCACCCCTGTGCTTGCCTTAGGCATCCTTGGCCGTGAGCTCTTGTAGAATTCGAACCCGGGTCCTTGGCGAAGCAGAAATCTCTGGAGGCAGAGGTCTCATGCCTAGGAAAGGCCAGGTCACATCAGCCAGTCCTTCTGGTCTGGCTTCATGACAACGTCTTGCCTAGCAGCGCAGTGATCCCGAGCTCAACTTCCGGTCAGTGCCGAGGTGCATCCGGGCAAGACGCTGCAGCTCCTTGGGAGAAAGCGATCTTTCTCGGGGGGACACCGGGGTCACTCTTTCAGGTATAGGATCTCGACCAACAACAACAACAACGTGCGACACTCTGAAAGTTCACAATAGGTTCCAAGCGCACGCAAAACTTGCCAAATAGCCACGGCGCACTTTTTCGCTGGTCTTCTGAAGCATTCCGTTGCTTCTCAATGAAGAACTGCTCCTTCTTTGTCAAATGCAGCTTCTGACTTGCAACCTGCCCTGGCCTGGCCGCAGGCTGCTGCAAGTTCAAGGATTTTACAGAGATGCCCTTTGCCTGTGTGTCTGGAATCCAGTCCCAGTCCTTGAAGCTACAGCCGTCCAAAGTCTGAGAGTTGCAGCCGCCCTGCGCTCTGAGACGGTCCCTCATGGACTTCTTCCCAACGTAGGGACTTCTGCTTTGACTGGAACATTTTTTAGGGGTGTCGTTCGTGGTGGGGGGGATTTCAGAAGGCGATTCGAGTCGACAGCCAATGCAACAACAGCCGTGCAGGTCTTCAAGAACCCTCCACAAACGCATCTGGATCTCCGTGTCGCAACCTCACGTGTGGCCTTATTCTCAGTGTGGTCCTGCCGATACTGTGTCGACTACACTCGAAGAAATCTGAAACGTTAGTGCTAGTAGAGCCTAGGAATGCTGTTGGCACTCCGGAGCCATCCATCCGAATGGCACGCCTTTGCAGGTACATCTCCGGCAAAGAGCGGATTCTGCCTTTCGGGAGCTATGTCCTCGCACACAGCAAGTAGCTTGCCTACAAAGGTAGTGGGCCGAGATGTGGCAACGCAATGGCGCTTAGAATCGTTTGAATACCGAGCACACCGCGGCCTACAACAGAAGAAGCTGCCTCTAAATTGGTCGAATTCACCGACGAGGTATTGCGGAGAGATGCACACCTAGTCTCCACCAAATTCGATCCTGCCTCTTCTCATGATCGCAACTGGAGTGCATGAGTTCACTTGCAGCTGGTCCTCCTCATCTGGTGCTCCCAAATAGTTGGGGAAAAGCCGCCTCCAGCACCAAAACCCTGGAAACCCTGAACTCAAAGGACTTTGACTCCTTCGACTTATGCCTTCTGAGCATCAGATGGCCCGGGCCGGGTTCTTGGCGGATGCAAGAGAAGCCACACGAACCCACACCCCTATTCCCTCAACACGATTCGAGGCTGAAGGTGTTATAGTCCCATGGGGATAAAGCGGGGCAGGTTTGAGCTTCAGTTTTTCAAGGACATGATACCCTTCTGAACAGGACTTGCCAAAGCGCCTGCCTGGCCCACTTTCCAGCTTCTTTTGCTGCCTGAGGGGCGCTCTGGTGGTATCCCTTTTGTGTCTGATGCCTGCTGATCTTACGACAATTTCACAGAATGGGTATCTCGGGTGCAAGCAATGCAGCAGATGCACGGTATCTTTAGCAGCGGACTCGCATGCAATGCGTTTGGAAGGTTGCCCTTGATGACGACACTTAGACTCAGGCCATACGATGCCACTACGAGCAGTGCCTCTCGTTTCTCGTCGTCGGTATGCTTTTCCCAGTAGGTATGTACAATAGTGGCTATGTGTATACGGCGACAAAGACCTCCACAGATGACCGAGCCTGAACCACCTTGTCCCTGGCTTTGCGCACCTTGGCTGGCAAGGCTACGCCCCGCCGGATGATGTACTTCGTTTGGCAAGGGGGGCTCAGGCCACCGAGGCGTGGACCACTGGCATCACAGGGCATTTCGAGGTCTCGCCGTCCTGTTTGTAGCACCACTGACGGGACTGAAACTCCAGTGACTCTAGTGACCCAGTCAAGGCAGCGGAGCATCTGCAAAGCGGGACTCTCTTGCTGTAGGCCCGCGTTCCGAAGTCGCAAAGCCCGCTGCAGGGGATGTTTCAGTACGGTTCGATGGCTGTCCTCGGACTGCTCCTGCGTCGCTTCGCAGGCCTCCTCTGCCTGTGGAAGATGCGAGGCGGCAACTCACTGCAACAGCAGAACCTCGATGGCCACGCAAACCGTGCTAGATGCTACAGTAGAGATTAACCTTTCATTTGCTTTCAATTGACTTTCAGACGCCTCCAAGACACCAGGGGACGTTTCTGTCGAGTCTATTTGAGGCCAAAGCGGATCCCTTTCAAGGAGGCTCTCGGGGTTCCAATCGTTACGAACATCGACAGAAGGCCGTTGAAGCCCGAGAACCACCGCATGCCAGTGCTGTTGAAATGCACTTGAGATCTTACAGCGAAAAAAAGCAGAGGCCCTGAAGCTCGGCCGGGACCCGCCAAGAGAGAGCACTAAAAGAGGACTCCGCGGCGGGCACTCCGGGCCTGGGCCTCCTCGGGAGCCTCGTCGAGCTGGTCGCCCAGGCGCCCGAGTTTCGACACGCCGGCGTCCTGACATCCCAACGGCTCCGGCTCCGATCTCACTCTTCCCGACCATCTCTGAAGATCCGGGGAGGGACGACCGCAGTACAGTCCTCCCGGTTGACCCACTGGCCGTTCTCCACTTCGATGAAGCCTCCGATCACGATATGTACACGGCATCTATGCTTCAAACATTTGCAGGAGAACGCCCATGCGGTCTGCAGACGAAGGCAGTCAAAACCAGGTCCTTTCAGCAGCGAACTGTTCTGGATGTCCCGGTTGGGGTGGGCATCTGACACGAAAGCGTAGCATTCGCCGGCCATGTTCTGACCTCAACAGAGATCTGTTCTCTGTTCGGCCAAGAGCATTCTGATGGGGTCGGCCGTGGTTTCAGGAGGCCGGAGGTGATGCGAATCACAGACAATGACCAAGGCTCGAAAGGGAAAGGTCATGGGCTTCCTCACAGCATGCGGCCAGAAACTGCTACCCAGCAGCTGAAGGCACTGATCTCGGCTATTCGCCACCTTTGCAAAAAGGAGTGCACACGGCCAGAGAGCCGGAAGATCTGCAAAGCACGAACAGATCTTTATCGCGATCTTGTGGAAGGCTTGAACTGAAAATCGCGGGACTGAACATGCCTAATAATGCCGCTCGTGGAAGTATTGCTATTCACACGGCAGGCATGCTTGTTGTCGAGAATGATTCAGCTAGTGCTTGTAACGTGAGAAACACTTGCGCCGGGGTCTCTCCCTCTGGGAATTTCAATCCGAGACACTTTCGAAAGCGCTGGCAGTAGTACATGAAGTACTGGCCCGAGGCTTGCCTCCAGGAGTCGAGCAATTCCACGGCTTTCAAAGGTAAAAGAATAGCAAAATCCTTTTGGAAGGAACTCCCAAGAAAAAGCATGCCCGCACCAATTCGGCCCAGGCGCCAGTATGTCTCACGACCCTGCCTGGCAGCCATGAGTGTTTTCGCGTCTTACATGCCACCAGCTAGAGTGGAAAGCCGAAGTCTCAGCTCCGAGGAAGTGTGGAAGAGCTATTCGTATGACGCACTGGCTGTAGACTGCACACAAAAAACTGGCAACTAATTACTCTTCGATTGCCAGGGATTGCTGAAGCAGTGTTCGTCGTCTTTCGTAGAAGGATGCTTTTCCTGTGGAACTCGCCCACGCCTGAACCGCCCATTATCAGCAATCCTCTTTCCTTCGGCCCGCTGCAACGTCCTGAAACCCTTGCGGATCCCAGATGCATCTTGAACTCTGCATTTGGACCTTCCAGATACTCCTGACAAAGTGCGTCACACAATCACGTGTTCCGAGGGGCGCCATCAACGAACACTCTCAAGACGGAGCAACAACAGGAACTTGCATGAAACTTCAGGTTCTGCGGAAGCTGCGCAGAGTCGTAAGCGTTCCTCGTTGAGGCTCTCGCGCTTGAAGCCATCAAGCCTTGAGATCGCAGCTGGCAGGCTTGGGGTTCCAGGCCCTTTTTGTAGGCTAGTCCGGTTAAACCGAATTCCATCCCAAAATGGGGTATTCTGACACCAGTCTGTGCCAGCACAGTGCTTTTTTTCGCTCACCGCCTCTCAGCTGCCACCCGAAGCCACCAACTTTGTCTCTGTTGGGTGAAGAGGAGCTGATGCGAAGCTGATCTGCACCCAAAGAGCACAGGGAAGAAGAGCCACGAATACAACGACCCCCCGACGTATCCAACAGCGACGTCGTGACATGGCCTCTGCAACCAAGACGCGCAATGGTTCGGAGCTGCGCGCTCTCTTCCCAGGACAGGTCGTTTGGCCAAGCGGGGATCTTGTATTCCTCGGGACGTGGCCCATCTTACGGTCAGGCTCCCCGACAGCAGAATCACAAAAGAGGTCATGTCACGGTCATCCTTTAAGTTTATAAGTCATATCTGCTTCCAGCAGTATGAGCGTACCAGTCTAGCGCTGGGAAAGTAGCACAGCTGCCAAGTTGGTGCATGCTTCACGTACAGGTCCAGGACCCAACAAGAAGCCCCCTTAACTCTACGAATCTTGCCGGGTAGCTGAAGCTGAAACCCACCCCAATCCACAAACTTACGGGTCGCAACCTTCGATCCAGAAAGAAGATACTCAACGCTCGACAGAGCCATAAACAGAAACGGTTGCACTGGGTCAATACTCGTTTTAAGTGACAGTGATAGAGGCACTTGAAGAAAGAGTGCATCGTCGAGACACCTTTGGAAAAGATCCGCTGCCGAAGCCTGGCACGTTTCGTCCGGCCATTTCATGCAGGTCTTTATATATGTTCGAGGTGAGACTTTCTTTCGGCAGGGTTATGGGCAAGAGGGTGTAACCCCCCTTGCTCGAGGTGAGACTCTCTCTCTTGCTTGCTTGCTTGCTTGCTGGGGGTTTGGGGTCAATGACCCCCGGCCCGAAGGCCAACCCCTCAACGGAGAGTCTCTCTCTCTCTCTCTCTCTCTCTCTCTCTCTCTCTTTCTTTCTTTCTGCAGGGCATAGGGGTNNAGGCCCGCCCTACCACCCATTGTGTTTCTCTCTCTCTCTCTCTCTCTCTCTCTCTCTCTCTCTCTGAATCTGCAGCTGTATTGATGTACCCGAAACGACGAGGCCTATTAACTGCTTCTCATGTTCCATGCGCCCTTGCAGGCAGGCAACTCTCAGGCAAGAAGTGGAGTCATGAATAGCACGCTCTTGGTAGTGGCCCGATTGAGCACCGGAAATGGGCAGACTCTTGCGGGCTTCGAACTTCCGCTTGGGAGCCCTTGCACCACTGGCTGGGACGTGCCTAAAGCTGGGAAGCCCTTTTCAGATCAGAAAGAGTCGTGCAGGTCGTTGGACAATTTGGATAAACAGGCTATGGTTTCGTCATCCGACGTTCTTGCAGTAGTCTGAATGAAATGTAAGTCTTGATTGAACAGACCATGTTTCCATCCGCCGACAACCCCCTTGGAGTAGTGTGATAAGAACAGCAGCGTGAACTGAGGATCTAGGTTCCTTTGCCATGCGGCCCTTCGGGCAGAAGGCAGCATAGGCAGGCGTCAGAAGAAGGCCGAAGCAAAGTCGGATCATGGTGGCTTAGCTATCCTGTGGTTTCGTTGATGCTGGGTTGAGAGCTTGTCGCGAGCGAAGGCTGGGCTATTCTGTCAGCGGAGTGCCAGCGTAGGTACGTCGGACAGACGGGCTCAGGTGTGCCAAGAAGCTAACCTTCGGACCAGGTACAGCGGGTAAAGTCTTTCGGGGATGCTTGATCCTGAACCTTGAAGACGAGCGGGCAGGGAGTGCAAGGCCAAGCGGTCCGAAGATGCCGTGTCAGTGTCATGGTCATGCCACTGGGTGCAGGTCAGGAAGCACGGCGACTGGGACCGGCACCCATAAAGCCGAGCCCAACCATCGTGGAAAAAAGGCCCACCGTCGCTGCAACCTCGGAGGCTCAGTGGGCTAGGAGAAGACTTTTCAGGCAGGGCCATGGAACTGGGAGAAAAACGCGTCCCAGATGCAATGCAATCCACCAAGCTTCTTTGTGGGTGCCTGGTTCGCCTCTTCTTCAGCCCCCCCCCTCTTCAGGGCCTAGCTCGTCTAAAACTTGCCAAAAAAGACTGGGACCTCTCAGCACCCTGCGTAGATGTATGGCACCCACTTGCACCCCTTCAGCGCGATCAAGAAGAGCAAGGCCTTCGAGCGAAAGAGGAGACCAAAGCTGGCAAGTCCTCTAGAAACATCAACTAGTTTGCTGGGACGCCGGCGCTGGCAGAACCCAAGCAGCCACAGGCGCACGCTATTCGCGCCCCCACATAGGAAATGAACCTGTCAGGCTGCGGGGTTTGGGAGCATAAAGGGTTCTGCAAGTCTTCCAAAAAGGCTTATGCCGAAGCGTCCCCGGGCTTTCCTGGCACAGTTGGCTCCGAGCGGAGCATCGGAGCCCAGCAACAAGACAAAACCTACTCCCAGCAGTGGCAAGTACGGCCTTTTGTTTGCTTTTCTCTTGCTTCAGTCCCTTTTTGTCCCTTGCCTGTCTGTATCAGTAGCTGCCTGTCCCTTATAACCTTGCTGCAAGGCCCTTCTTCCTTTCTTTGGCTGTCGGCCTTCCTGCGCTTTTGGCCCGGTCGTCTGCTCCGCTGCCCGCGGATGAGAGAAATGACTCTGCGGAAGTGGCGCGCAGAGTGTGTCTGTCTCTACAGACGCTGGTCGATGCCTACCGGAGCTGCTACAGTGGCTCTGTAGGGAGCTGAAGCTGGGAGATGCTCCGAGGCTGAGCCGAGGACATGGGAATCACCGGAGACCACATCAAGGTCGAAGCGTTCGACACCTCGTGTCAGCACGGCATCATCCCCCCAACAGGGCCATGCGGAGTCGAAGCTCTGGGTGCCAGGGCCATGAAGAACCAACCAAACTCGGTCTGTCCAAAGAAGTAGCGCTCCTGGCGCCCAGAAGCGCGAGCTCTTTAAAAAGGAGGGCGCTTTGCACTCTCCCCTTCCCAGGACTTCCCGTGTCCGAACCTTCAAAAACAGCGGCTCGGGGCCCTCACCTCAGTGGTGTCTTCTGCTGTTTTCTGATTCGGTAAAGATCTCTTGGAGGCTGCACGAGGCTTGAAAGAGATCTGCAAGAACGGTCCTTCCGAAGCTACGGACCTGCAACTGGCTCAATGCCGTGCGAAAGAGCTGGAGCACGTGTGCCGGAGAGAGATACAAGGATACTGTGGTCTTGAGGCCGGAGCTGACACCCAAGGCAAAGCTGAAGCCGAAGGATGCCTGCAGGTACCCGGAGCTATGACTTCTGGACGACCAAGTACAAAATGGTCTCTACTGGCGGGACCCACACTCTCCTGCTCAAGTCATGAAGTGCGGCTCCCGCAAGGCTGAGATGATTTAGACATGCGTCGAAATGCAGGCATTTCATCCGACAACGAAGCCCCAGCAGTCTCCGACTACTTCGATGCTGAAGTGGACACTTCCGAAGCTAGGCGAGACGTGCGGGGGTGCAGCCGGGGTACCCCCAGCAGGTAGCACACACCCCCATGGAACAGCACCTCAGAGTCCAGGGTTGAAGCAATCTGGAAGCTTCCTTTCGAACTCCGGGCTTGTTCGTGATCACTGCATGTCATTTGGCAGTGGGTTCCATGTTCCTGTCCCATCGTTTTCTCGGATGGGGCCTGTCCAGTTCAAGGGGTCCAACCATTTGCCGATAGGGCTTCATCAAGTGAGCAGCAGTTGCATAAGACAGGCGGATACGGTTTGTACAGAGGCGCATGGACCCTTGTTGGTAGGGCGCTGCTTCTCGGCTTCACAAAAGACCTGCAACAGGGTATGGGACACAGCCCCTCCGGGATGAAACCAAAGGACCTCTGAAACAGAAGCAGTCAGGCTATCCCTTCTGAACGGTCTCGAGTGCCATCGTTTTGCAACGGCATTTGCGTACGGATGCCATCTCTCTTGACCCCATTCGCCAATAGGCAAACAAAGATGAATAGCGAAGTCATCGGATTGACAACGCTTCCCTAACAAACCGACAACCGCGTGTCATAACGAGCAGCCTGACAATAGCCACGCACTAGTTCGCTCCAAGGGCCACATGGCAGAGGTGGACGTAGGACCGAGCCCCACTCCAGTGCCAAAGTGGTAGCTTTAGCCTCCGAGTACCGTCGATCTCCAGACTGCTCCATCACCTCAATCCTACGCCGTCCCACGAGTGCCCGGTCGAGGCACAGCAAGGTAGTGCTCCCCTGGAATGCGACCTGGCTGAAGAAGGCGCAAAGATGGTCACAGGGCCTGAGATTCAACAACAACATCAGATAACAATCAATTCAACTTCCTTCCAAAGTTGGCATTCTACGCCTTCTAGAACTGGACAGCAGCTTCAAGCGGCTGCTCTCGCCCCGAGAAAGCAGTTGCAGAACATGCAGCATGGACCGTAGGATGTGCATGCCATCACCACCACTCCTGTTACACTACAGCTCTCAATTCGACAAAAGTCCGAAGGTCACGCGATGCTCTTGCCTTGTCCACTTTTGGAGAGGTCTGACCTCCACAGGTGCACATTCCACTTTCCGTGTTCTGCGCAGACCCTGATTCCCGGCAATTTTCATGTCTCATGTTGCGGAGGCTGGAAACCCTACTTTTCCTTCTTCCCTTCCTGACTCGTGGCCCAGCTGTGCCTGGAGCGCTGAATGCTCAGCGGTGTGGATCCACATGCCTGCAAGTTGGGGCCACTTTCAAGCTCCAGCCGACCCCAAGCTGCGCCGAAGCGGCGCCTCGTCAGGGAGCGACCTGGCCAAAGCGCCGTGAAGAAAAAGGAACGCGAACGCGTTTTATATGAGGGGAGCATCGTCGAAAAGGTGGCTTGGTAAGCTCCTGGCTGCGAGTAGTTCTCCCAGAGCAGGGATCCCAAAAAAAGGCAAAGCAAGTTGATGCCTCTGCCAAAACTTCTCAGTGCAAGTGGCAACAACCGAAAGCGGTTTAAAGCGTTTCGATCCGAGGCCCAGTCAGGCGAAGCCTCGGCAGAAGGCCGGAAAGCCGTAGCCTCGGCCCGCTTTCTTCGGAGAGAAGCTGCCCGCGGAAGCGGCAGCGGAGCAGCGAAACTCGGTTCCCAGAGAGCCCAATACCCCCTTAATTAAGGAAAAGACCTTAAATCATAATATTCAAGGCCCCCAGTAAAACTCAAAGGTATATAGGAATATATACCTTAAAACAATATACTATTAAGGCCCCTATAAAAACTCAAAGGTGTGTTGGGCTCTCTGGGTTCCCTGGGCTCCCCGGGCCCTGGAAGCTGTGCGCGA